ATAAATGATAAAGAATGCTAATTTAGATATAAAATCGATATTTTTTTGAAAATAGCCTACTATGATCAAACCCAAAAATGCTTTAAATTGCATTTTAAAACATATCTAGGTATTATAAATGATAAAGAATGCTAATTTAGATATAAAATCGATATTTTTTTGAAAAAAGCCTACTATGATCAAACCCAAAAATGCTTTAAATTGCATTTCAAAACATATCTAGGTAATATAAATGATAAAGAATGCTAATTTAGATATAAAATCGATATTTTTTTGAAAATAGCCTACTATGATCAAACCCAAAAATGCTTTAAATTGCATTTTAAAACATATCTAGGTATTATAAATGACGAAAAATGCTAATATAGATATAAAATCGACATTTTTTTTTGAAAAAAGCCTACTATGATCAAAACCAAAAATGCTTTAAATTGCATTTTAAAACATATCTAGGTATTATAAATGACGAAGAATGCTAATTTAGATATAAAATCGATATTTTTTTGATAAAAGCCTACTATGATCAAAACCAAAAATGCTTTAAATTGCATTTTAAAAGATATCTAGGTATTATAAATGACGAAGAATGCTAATTTAGATATAAAATCGACATTTTTTTTTGAAAAAAGCCTACTATGATCAAACCCAAAAATGCTTTAAATTGCATTTTAAAACATATCTAGGTATTATAAATGACGAAAAATGCTAATATAGATATAAAATCGACATTTTTTTTTGAAAAAAGCCTACTATGATCAAAACCAAAAATGCTTTAAATTGCATGAAAAAAAAATTGTATTATAAATGACGAAGAATGCTAATTTAGATATAAAATCGATATTTTTTTGATAAAAGCCTACTATGATCAAAACCAAAAATGCTTTAAATTGCATTTTAAAAGATATCTAGGTATTATAAATGACGAAGAATGCTAATTTAGATATAAAATCGACATTTTTTTTTGAAAAAAGCCTACTATGATCAAACCCAAAAATGCTTTAAATTGCATTTTAAAACATATCTAGGTATTATAAATGACGAAGAATGCTAATATAAATATAAAATTGACATTTTTTTTGAAAAAAGCCTACTATGATCAAAACCAAAAATGCTTTAAATTGCATTTTAAAACATATCTAGGTAATATAAATGATAAAGAATGCTAATTTAGATATAAAATCGATATTTTTTTGAAAATAGCCTACTATGATCAAACCCAAAAATGCTTTAAATTGCATTTTAAAACATATCTAGGTATTATAAATGATAAAGAATGCTAATTTAGATATAAAATCGATATTTTTTTGAAAAAAGCCTACTATGATCAAACCCAAAAATGCTTTAAATTGCATTTTAAAACATATCTAGGTATTATAAATGATAAAGAATGCTAATTTAGATATAAAATCGATATTTTTTTGAAAATAGCCTACTATGATCAAACCCAAAAATGCTTTAAATTGCATTTTAAAACATATCTAGGTAATATAAATGATAAAGAATGCTAATTTAGATATAAAATCGATATTTTTTTGAAAATAGCCTACTATGATCAAAACCAAAAATGCTTTAAATTGCATTTTAAAAGATATCTAGGTATTATAAATGACGAAGAATGCTAATTTAGATATAAAATCGACATTTTTTTTTGAAAAAAGCCTACTATGATCAAACCCAAAAATGCTTTAAATTGCATTTTAAAACATATCTAGGTATTATAAATGACGAAAAATGCTAATATAGATATAAAATCGACATTTTTTTTTGAAAAAAGCCTACTATGATCAAAACCAAAAATGCTTTAAATTGCATTTTAAAACATATCTAGGTATTATAAATGACGAAGAATGCTAATATAAATATAAAATTGACATTTTTTTTGAAAAAAGCCTACTATGATCAAAACCAAAAATGCTTTAAATTGCATTTTAAAACATATCTAGGTAATATAAATGATAAAAAAATGCTAATTTAGATATAAAATCGATATTTTTTTGAAAAAAGCCTACTATGATCAAACCCAAAAATGCTTTTAAATGCATTTTAAAAGATATCTAGGTATTATAAATGACGAAGAATGCTAATATAGATATAAAATCGACATTTTTTTTTGAAAAAAGCCTACTATGATCAGAACCAAAAATGCTTTAAATTGCATTTTAAAACATATCTAGGTATTATAAATGATAAAGAATGCTAATTTAGATATAAAATCGATATTTTTTTGAAAATAGCCTACCATGATCAAATCCAAAAATGCTTTAAATTGCATTTTAAAACATATCTAGGTAATATAAATGATAAAGAATGCTAATTTAGATATAAAATCGATATTTTTTTGATAAAAGCCTACTATGATCAAAACCAAAAATGCTTTAAATTGCATTTTAAAACATATCTAGGTATTATAAATGATAAAGAATGCTAATTTAGATATAAAATCGATATTTTTTTGAAAATAGCCTACTATGATCAAACCCAAAAATGCTTTTAATTGCATTTTAAAAGATATCTTGGTATTATAAATGACGAAGAATGCTAATATAGATATAAAATCGACATTTTTTTTGAAAAAAGCCTACTATGAGCAGAACCAAAAATGCTTTAAATTGCATTTTGAAACATATCTAGGTATTATAAATGATAAAGAATGCTAATTTTGATATATAATCGACATTTTTTTTGATAATAGCCTACTATGATCAAACCCAAAAATGCTTTAAATTGCATTTTAAAAGATATCTAGGTATTATAAATGATAAAGAATGCTAATTTAGATATAAAATCGATATTTTTTTGATAATAGCCTACTATGATCAAACCCAAAAATGCTTTTAAATGCATTTTAAAAGATATCTAGGTATTATAAATGACAAAGAATGCTAATTTAGATATAAAATCGATATTTTTTTGATAATAGCCTACTATGATCAAACCCAAAAATGCTTTAAATTGCATTTTAAAAGATATCTAGGTATTATAAATGATAAAGAATGCTAATTTAGATATAAAATCGATATTTTTTTGATAATAGCCTACTATGATCAAACCCAAAAATGCTTTAAATTGCATTTTAAAACATATCTAGGTATTATAAATGATAAAGAATGCTAATTTAGATATAAAATCGATATTTTTTTGATAATAGCCTACTATGATCAAACCCAAAAATGCTTTAAATTGCATTTTAAAAGATATCTAGGTATTATAAATGATAAAGAATGCTAATTTAGATATAAAATCGATATTTTTTTGATAATAGCCTACTATGATCAAACCCAAAAATGCTTTTAAATGCATTTTAAAAGATATCTAGGTATTATAAATGACAAAGAATGCTAATTTAGATATAAAATCGATATTTTTTTGAAAATAGCCTACTATGATCAAACCCAAAAATGCTTTAATTTGCATTTTAAAACATATCTAGGTATTATAAATGATAAAGAATGCTAATGTAGATATATAATCGACATTTTTGTATGAAAAAAGCCTACTATGATCAAACCCAAAAATGCTTTAATTTGCATTTTAAAACATATCTAGGTATTATAAATGATAAAGAATGCTAATTTAGATATAAAATCGATATTTTTTTGAAAATAGCCTACTATGATCAAACTCAAAAATGCTTTTAATTGCATTTTAAAAGATATCTAGGTATTATAAATGACGAAGAATGCTAATATAGATATAAAATCGACATTTTTGTATGAAAAAAGCCTACTATGATCAAACCCAAAAATGCTTTAATTTGCATTTTAAAACATATCTAGGTATTATAAATGATAAAGAATGCTAATGTAGATATATAATCGACATTTTTTTGATAATAGCCTACTATGATCAAACCCAAAAATGCTTTAAATTGCATTTTAAAAGATATCTAGGTATTATAAATGACGAAGAATGCTAATATAGATATAAAATCGACATTTTTGTATGAAAAAAGCCTACTATGATCAAACCCAAAAATGCTTTAATTTGCATTTTAAAACATATCTAGGTATTATAAATGATAAAGAATGCTAATGTAGATATATAATCGACATTTTTTTGATAATAGCCTACTATGATCAAAAACCAAAAATGCTTTAAATTGCATTTTAAAACATATCTAGGTATTATAAATGATAGAGAATGCTAATGTAGATATATAATCGACATTTTTTTGATAATAGCCTACTATGATCAAAACCAAAAATGCTTTAAATTGCATTTTAAAACATATCTAGGTATTATAAATGATAAAGAATGCTAATATAGATATAAAATCGATATTTTCAGCGCATTTTTGAAACTTGTTTCAAAAAGGTAGCTTAATAGTTCACTTTGATTGGCTGCTCGGCTGGTTCTGAAATCTCCTTAACCAGACATCATAGAGAGTTCTTGTTTGTTTTATTAGTTCAGGTTCATTGTTTTATTGGCTTTAAGTTTATTTTCGAACCGTAAAACAATGGATAAATACTATAATTAATGATTTTTTTATTTCATAAACGAAACCACCTGATGAGTACGTTTAAAAATTTGAATTTTTTTCTACCGCTTTAAAAATTGTTCATTGTATGTTCAGAGATTCAAATTTATTTCTACCGTTAAATATTTGAATCTCAAAAAACCGTTTAATGAAATTTTCATTTGAATTCAAGAAAATGGTTTAGTGACAAATCCTGTTGAATTCAAGAGTTTTTTGTTGTGAAAATTAATTTATTTGGTTAAAAAAGAATTGTTAATTATATATCTCACGTAAATAATATAAAAATGACGGGATAATTTCAAAAACCGTTAAAGGACAAAAAACTTTTTGCTGTACGTAATGCTTAATATTTATTGAAATACAACGACTATACTTTGATAAAGGCGAAAATTTAGAGCTGTTTGCTAATTGATTCGCATTTTGATGCTTATCAAATACTGATCGCTGCGTCAAAAATGCGCTGAAGTCTCTCAATTTCTAAACATTTAAAAATCTTAAATAAATTTTTTAACTTTCTTCACAGGATTCTGGGTGGAAGGATTACACAAGATCATAATGAAATGACGCATCTCGTCATGACAAAACCTAATCGAACTCTAAAATTCCTGTATGCATTATGCAGTGCAAAATATATCATTAGCTCATGCTGGCTTGAAGATAGTGCAAAAGCAGGTTATTTCCAAACAGAAGACAACTACTGGATTAAGGATTTAAGCGAAATGAACTATAAATGTGATGTGCTGCAAGTAATCAAGTCTCCTATTAGGAATAGGCTGTTTGAAAATCGAGTATTTTACATCACTCCAAATGTCAAGCCAGCACCAAGCTATTTGAGATGGCTAATAGAGAGAAGTGGAGGAAAATGGGAACATAATCGACGATCAGTCATGAAAATTCATGAATTGAATCAACAAAGTCCCAACAGTTATATTGTCGTAAGTTGTCCAGAAGATTTAATTCTATTAGGATTCAAGCATTACGTCTGTTACGTTTGCACAAGTGAATTTATTTTACAGTCAATAATGACGCAAACGATGGATTTCCTGAAATCAGAATTACAACTATCACGTTAGTTTTAATAGCAATAATGTTTTTATTTAATTTACTTTTTAAAATCCCATACAAAAAATTATAACATTATTAAGATAAATGAAAATGTTGCCTTATAATTTTTATACCTTTCATAATTCTATCATACTGACAAGGAAAAAAAGCATTATCTTTTCTACTAACACAACTTATTGTCTCTTTATTTATGCAAAAAAAAAAATATTATAGAAAAATAAAATAAATTTTTAAAAAAAGGAATTAAGAATATAGATTCTAATAGTTGATTCCAGTGGATTTACTAGTATTTAGGCATTTGTGAATATCTTGGTGGTGTATTCCAAACAGCACTGGAATTGCGAATTAACTTTCTGGCATCAATAGTTGGGAATATTTCCTTTAAATTGACATTAATTGGATGAGACGAAAATAGTGCATCCAATGCATTGGAATTTGTGTATGACTGCATGTAAATCTGTTTCGTTCGTACTTGTTCTGGATGAAAAAAAAATAGGAAATAGATATTAAAAAATTTATGTTTTAACTTGACAAGCTACACTTACTTTTACTCCATTGTGGTGGATCAGGACGTTTCTTTGATGGATGTGACTCGTCATCAGTTGAGTCGTCAGTTTGAAGCATTTCAAATGAATAAGTATTCTTATCTACCACCTTTTTCTTTTGTGACATGGACTTTTCCATAAGAATTTGTTTTTGCATCTTAATGTACAAACTGTCATCCTTGCTAGCTGATTGTGGTTCTTTCGGTAAAGCAAAATCATCCTTTCGTGCCTTCTCTTCAGCATATTTCTTTTCTTGATTCTCTTTTAAAGCTTTCTTCTTTTGAGCTTCCATTCGTTTAGCTTCTTCCTTTTCCTGCATAATTTTACGGAACTTTTCATCACGTTCGCGCTGTTGCTGCATAACTTGTTCACGTTTTTGCTTCTCAATAGCTTCACGTTGTAATTGAACTTGCTTTTGTTTTTCTTCTCGCTGTTTCCTTTTCTCTTCAAGCTGCTGATTAATTGATATTGCCTGATTCTTACGAGTGTCCTCATTCGATTCTTGTGATAATGAAGTATATTTTTTTGTTGCTGTCTTCTTATTGCTTGACAGCGATGTTGTCGATGAAGAGGCACTACCGGAAATGGCAGCAATGTACTTTTGTTTTGCATTGTTCAAAGGGGTAGTCTTAGCACCATAAAGAGCTATTTTCGAAGGCGTTCCATTCTTTAAGGTACTCTGTAAAATTTAAATTATTTATTTGACTTTTAAATTTAAAAATGATTTATTCTTACATATTTGGAACTAGTGGCTTTAGACTTGTCGGGAGTTGTCACTGCATGTTTTTCGAATGCTTGGACTTTTTGCTTGACTGGACTGGATAGATAAGGACTATAAAGAAATAATAGTAAGTGTCAAATAGCGTCCTTGTGTGTTACACTTACTTGAATACTTCATTTTTGGTTTTTAATTTTAACGGCAACTGTGGATGATGATCAATTTTTTTGTTCTCCTTAATTTTTTCAGGCGCAAGTTCCATTGACGATTCTTCATCATTGTCTTCAGTCATTAAGCTGTCGTGCATGTTCTTATTGTATGTTTCATTAGCATTAACATTAGTTGCTAATGTGACAGTTTCATTAACAGGCAAATTTGTGCTGATTGTGACTGTCTCGTTTATCAGGAAGTTTTGTTGCTTTTCAGCACTTTCAGCTGGTGGAATATTTTCATTGTCATTATGAGGCGGTTCCATTTCGACATTAGAAGGCGAAGTAATTTTTTGGACCTCTTCCGTGCTTATTCTTTCGATTTTTACTAATATAGGCAGTGGATACTTCTTTTTAGCACCTTTCTTAGATGCAAGTGAAGCAATTGTATCATTAACTTTTTGTGTCTGATTTTGTAAAACACTTTCAGACATGCTCTTTCGAATATGATTTTCTTCTTCAACAATTGGTTGTTGAAGCTCTTTTGATGAAACTGTCTTCCCAATTGATGGTTTTTCCTTCTTAATTTTCGATCTGGTTACACGCACTGGCAAAGCTTGTGTCGGATCAGTAGGTAATTCAAGAATTGCTTGTTTCGGTGCTTTCTTTTTGTTTTTAATAGGAATTGGTGGAGGTGGCATTTTATCAGAACTATCGTCCGTTATGTCAATTTGAATTGGCTTTGATGATGGAATAATTTCCACAGACATACTTCGTTTGATATCTCGAACTGCTGTCAAATCGGGTTCACTTCCTGTTTGCATACCTTCATCCGTAGAAACATGAGCAGGCTGTGCATTTTCTTTCAATGAATCACGAAGTTTCTTATTTGCAGCACTAATTCTCTCGGATTTGACGAAAACTGCAACATTATTATCATTTCTTAGCTTTACATTTGTTGAAACTTCTTTCTGTAAAAGTATAAGATGATTGATATTTGAGCCTTAATAGACTTAATCATATTAAGAGAGTAAGTATCATACCAAGTTCTTGCTTGCATTCGTTTTTGCTGTTCGAATGGGTCTTAAGCTTTCTCGTTGAGGAGATTTTTGCTGTAAAGGCACTACTGGTTCAACATTTCTAATTGCTGGAATAGGTGGTGTTGATGGTCGTGGTTCTTCTTCTCTAATCGGATCAATTTCTTGGTCTTCACAAATAATTCGCATTAATCTTTTTTGTGGCTTGGGATTAATTACTTGCTTTTTTTGGAGAGTTTCCTTTGCTTTCAGCACATAATTTTTAAGGTTTGACTCAAGTTCCTGTATAAAGCATAAGAAACAAGCAATTTCATAAGAATTTAGCGCTACAAACAATATGATTAACTTACTTTTATCTGTTCATCTGTTTTCAATACAAACAACTCGATATTGTGGATTTTAGAATTTAGGCGTAACCTTAATTCGTCCATTCTGGGTGTTTATAGATTAATTAACTTAATAATAACAATGATTTTGGTGAAAAAATAAAACTTTACTGCACGACAAAAGATTCAAAAAATAAACGGTTTTTTCGAGGGTCTCCAAGTGTGTAGTGAGAAATTTTTGAATTCTACAAAACCGTTGATTCTTGATCCTTTTACACATTCAAGTCCTTAAACTAGTTATTATCTTTATTAAATATAGTTTATAAGTAGTTTAATTCCAATTAATGCTTACAGCGTTCTAAAAGTTCTATAAAACGCTTTAAAAATTTTGATCCGATTTCGAAAGATTCGATGATTAACTGGATCTTCATAAATAATGTGAAGCATAAGATTCATTTAAAATACTAAAGATCCAGACTTAGACTAATACTGTATTATGCTTAAAACATTAATTTTAAAAATTGTAGCAATATCATTTCTTCATTTTAAAGCACTTCCCATTGATGTCTAAAATAACTTTGTGACTCGCTCTTTGCTTGACATCATTATTAATCTAACCCCGTACCTCTGATCGGCTACAATATTTTGCTTTGAAAATATTTTTATAAAACAATTATAAAGCATCAATTATCATAACAATTTATAAGCACAATGGCATCAAATGATAATCAACTGGAAGAAAAGCAGGAAGAAGTAGAGCCAATCATGATTTTGGATGTGAACCAAGAAGAATTGGGTAAAACATAAATAATAATAATAATCTTGCGCTAAAATGTCATAATTAATGATAATTGCATCTAATAGATCTAAATCATGGTCGTATCGGCAAAATTGAGAACCTCGAACCATTAGTACAACTAAAGAGATTATACCTTCGTTGGAACTTAATAAAAAAAATTGAAAATTTGGGTACCTTAACAACATTAGAGGAACTGGAACTTTATGATAATCAAATCACCAAGATTGAAAATTTGGAACCACTGAGCAATCTTATGTAAGCTAGTGATATTTATTCATGTTAAGTCATTATCTAAAGAACGATCTGTTATTTCAGAATGCTGGATATAAGTTTTAATCGATTGACGAAAATTGAGAATCTGGATGAACTGTCGAGCTTACAAAAGCTCTTTTTAGTGTCCAATAAAATTGCATCTATTGAAAATCTTCAAAGCCTTTCAAACTTGACTATGTTGGAACTGGGCGATAATAAGATTCGTGTAAGTTTCTGACCTTTTTAAACTTGATAATTGAAATTCTTTAAATAAATTTTCATGATCTATTTCCAGGAGATCAAAAATCTTGACTGCCTTCCGAATTTAACACACTTGTTTCTGGGGAAAAATAAAATTACTAAGATCCAGAATTTGGACAAGCTTACAAAACTGGAATGTCTAAGTCTTCAATGTAATCGAATAGTCAAAATTGAAAATTTGGACAAGTTGATAAACTTGAAAGAATTGTATTTATCTGAAAATGGAATTGAAGTCATTGAAAATCTTGATGAAAACAAGGACCTTGAAACATTAGATTTGGCAATAAATCGTATAAAATCTATTGAGAATGTAGGACATATGAAGGAACTACAAGAGTTTTGGGTCAATAATAATCAAATTAGTGCTTGGAAATGTCTTGAACAATTAACAGGTAATCTGAAGCTTGAAACTGTTTATTTGGAGAAGAATCCAATTGCATCTGATATCCAATATCGTAAAAAAATCATGCTCACCATTCCATGGATTAAAAAGATTGATGCAACTTTATGTCATTGATTATAAATGTTTTAATTAATAAATATGTTTGTCATCAGAAAATATTGTTTTAAGGATCATTTTTTTATAAGTTTTATTATTACTCCGATAGTTACATTTGATGAACACTAGGTTTAAGTATGATAATTTTAAAAGGCCGATAATAAAATACATATGCGTATAAAAAATATATATATAAAAATGTAAGTATTTGGTATGAGAAAGGAACAAGTTAAAGCAAGTTTATATAAATTTTCCCTCACCGTCATATCACAAAAATTAAGCTTGTCGCTAAATATATATTCTTAATTATATAGAGTTAATGAATACTAAGAAAACATAAAAGGGTACATTCGATAGTCTTTGCTATTTACTCTTCCTTGTTTTCGTCGTCAACCTTTACCTCCTTTTTCTTCTTCTTGGCAGCAACTTTTTCAGACTTTTCAGCTTCAGCCTTCTTCTTTTTTCCTTTAGGGACCTTTTCATCAGTTTCAACTTCCTTTGTTTTAGCAGCTTTAGCTTTTTTTGGTTTAACTTTAGGCTTTTCGACTTCCTTACTATCCTTTTTGGCAGTTTTCTTTGGTACAGCAGGTACTTCGTCTTCAGATTTCTTTGTACGCTTTGAAGCAGTTGCCTTTTTCTTGGTTTTAGTGGCAGATTCCTTTTCAGCTTCAACTGGATTTGCTTTTGCCGTCTTCTTCTTTTTAATTGTAGCTACAACAGATGGTAATTTGACAGTCTTTGAAACTGGTTTTTTTACTTTTGGACTTGGTGCATTTTTGGATCCCTTTTTCTTTTGAGTAGGAACCTTTTCATCAGCTGATGACTTTTCTACAAGTTTCTTGACCTTTTTCTTGTTTTCTGCAACAATTTTGAAGAATCCTGGATGTTGTAAAATACATTAAAGTAAGGTTAAGAAAGCACATTTTTTCCTTTGTAATTTTTTTACCTCGACTTCCTTTTGAATCTTCACTATTTTTTAATTCGCCATTTTCTGCAGCAGAAACGATAAATTTCTTAATCAATCGTCCATAACGTGTCATATCAATTTCTGGATTTTTAGAAGCAATGTAATTTCGAATCTTCATTATTGACGATCCTTTCCTTTCGTTCAGATTAAGTATAGCATCCATAACCAATTTTCCAGTTTTAGAGTATTGTGGACTCCTTTTTAAAGATTTTGGTGCAGCAACTGCTGTCTCAACTTGTTCTTCAGCCATTTTAAATGTTTTATTTCTGGTTTATTAACTTTATATTATTATTTTGTCTAATTTGATCTTCACTGTCCTGCGTTCAAATTATTACTGAAACCTCAAGTGCTCTTTCAAGGGTTTTCTACTTCGTTTTTTATTTTCTCGGTACTTCTAGACCCTTAATTTTTTAAAATTTTATTTGCCGTTAAAAATTCAAACTTTTTTATCGTTATATTTTGCATCAAGTCTGAAAGAAAGGTGAATTGAAAGTAGGAATGCAGGTGTGTATTAAGTTTTGAACTTTTTTTGGTTTTTTGCTTTATTTTTTTCATTTTTTCATATATATAAATTATTTTTCATTTATCCTTAAAAGATGATTTCTATTATCTATTTACAATTTATACACTTAAATGAATTAAATTCTTTTTTTAGATTAATCTAAAACGCATCCTGTGTGATGAATCAATTTGTATCATGTATGGTTAAAACGAAACTCATAGATTCACGTTATTTTTAAGTCATTTGACTGTCAATTAGATACTAAATCAATTAAATTGTGTCCTGTTTATAGAAGCAAATCTTGAGAATCTATCAGTTTAAATTATATTAAATTAAAAGAATGCAAACATATTTTTTGAATCATCTCATTCCTTATTATTCAGCTAATTTACAATTATTTTTAATTCTTTGTTCAGTTTTTCAGTTTCTTTTCATATTTATTTTTCATCTTATTAATTATATTTCTTTTTAATAATTGGCGTTATTATGTAGTTAAGAAATGAGGCTTTTATTTGAAAACCAAAAAAAGGATGATTTTAAAAAAATTAAATTTCAAACTTTGACTACTTTAAACTTAACATTTACTGACTTTTTTTACCACGAGATACGGTAGGGAATATCTGAATATTAAATGAATTTAAAAAACAAAATACGTCATTAAAAGGAGAAAAGGATACAATCAGTAATTTCAATTTGATGATTCAAGTATTTCTATTAAGTCCATATAAAATTAAAAACGCACATTATTTTGATTCTTTAACTTTCGGAAACTGCTTAATTGAGGTATAAAAAATTTTCTTCCAGCTTTTTCTTACTCTTTGATTTGGTAAAAAATAAAATTATAATTAAATTATTAATAATGTGTGGCAAGATATCCTATGTTTAAAGGTTCTATTGAAAAAACAATACATGATGTGTTATATAAAAAATAATCAAAATTACTGACAATTACTATTCTTTAAGAAAATTTGGTCTTTATGATTTTTTGTTTATAACATTGAAGTAGTAAGCTAGACAAATCAATACAAATTGGCTGATGTTCCCCAAATTTAACGCGCGGTCTATCTATTTGTTTAATTTGTTCCTTGAATAAGTCATTAAAGTTGTTGAAGAATTCAACATTTTTGGATGTCACGCGCAAGAGATTTTACAGCGCTAATTTTAATTAACAAGCTGAGACAAGCTATCAACAGCTTAAACGATTAACCACATCATAAAAGCTATCACGTGTGATTACCAAAAACGAAGTTGCTTCAAGCAATTTAAAGACATTATTCAAGGTTTATTTATTACATTTGATGCAGATCAAATTTCTTGTGTATATCAAGTTATATGAAATAACAGGTTATAATAATATCGATGATAAATTTGCACATCAAATGATAAGAAGGAGGATGCTTAACATTTTTATTTAATTGGTAGTTGAATTTTCATTTCACTTCTTGTTTCCATTTATTTATTATGTTTTATGATAAATCTAGGTAAGTAGGATTTGATTTCTTCTTGTTTGTGTACATTTGTGATCACATCTCGTGAACATAAATCATAAAGTAATAAAAAACTTTTAATTTATTAAACCACTCGAAAGTCTCATTAATCTTTTGATTGAATTGTAAACTTATTGAGTTATAAAATTTTGATTAAAGTAGAAATTTCAAAATTGTCTAATATCAGTGAAAATCAAACCTTTGAGCATGTATTTGATTTCTTCAAAAAAAAAACTTAAAATTCAAAGCCCTTAAATCATTAAATGATACATTTTTCAGATTTGAGTTGGGGTTAGGATGGTCTTGGGACGAAAATATGAAAATTATGTGTTTTGAACTACAAACTTAGTCATTATAGATTATCATTTAAACGATTTTTTCTGATTTCTTTTTATGATTTCTCTAAGGATCAAAAAGATTCTTAAAGACACATCAAGAAAAGTTGAAATTTGGATCAATTAAAATATTATTAGAAATTAAGTTTACTGCCAAAGCTTTAAAATGACATCTAATCTAGCTTACCTCAAACCGAAGAAGTTTGAGAAACAAAATTTCATCAAATTTATAAATGATCAAGTGATTTAGAGCCTTAAATTAAAAAGTCTCTAGAATTTGATCAAATCAATATCATAAAAATTTTTAACTTTCAAAAATAGAATGAAGATTCAAATACATGCTTTATATGCTGCATATTAAAAATTAAATTCCAAAAAGTAAACGATAGTTAATCAATCGATATGAACATGTCACGTAAAGGTGTGAAATGCCTTTGTAATGCTAATTAAATTTCTATTAAAATCTTTCATTTTTTTTTGTTGAATTTTTGAAACTTTTTGACAAGATTTTTTTTTTGAAAGCATTAATTATGTTTTTTTTGGGGGATTTTTTTTTTGTATTTTCAACAGCTTGTGTAGTAACATCGAGACTATAATTTTTCTTCTATTTTTTTTTTTACATTTTTTGTCATAAAAATGCACTTTAAACAACAATAAATTACAAATGCTTTGCAGCGATTGAAGAAAGGGAGTGTGAAGTATGTTAAGTTATTTGCTCATCATTTATTGCTAAAGACAAAAAGCTGTTAAGTCATGCCTTTTGATATATGAAAAGAAATGAATATTAATGTAAATCAAACTATCTTATTGCTCGTCGTTGTACACACGCGAAATATTCTTGATTGTTTTGGGGTCGTTCACAAATTACGTTGAATTAAGTTGAATCTTTAGAACTCATCAATCATGGTTTATTGACAAAAGACTAAAGATTTAGCCCTGTGACCTTCTTTCGAGGTATACCTTTGTCACATAGAAAATATAACTAGAGTATCCTCGAAAACCTAGTTCTTATTCAACGTTTGGTAATGAAATTTTAAAAGTCATATGTGAACGACCACTAGTTCCGTTTTTGTTTAATGTTAAGAAGAGAAATGAAGCGATAAAGGTATGTAAAAATTAGTCAATTAATATTTTCTTTTTCGCAAAAATTCTAATTAAATCAACCATTTCCCAATCCTATCACAGACTTCTATATGCAACATTTAAACGCTGCTGCATTAAGGGAATTTATTTATTAATCATTATTTTTTAATTATTAGGTATTTTTTTTTTTGATAATGAATTTCACTTAACATTTTTGTTTTAATAATATTAGTTCCCAAAAATTTAATATGCGCCATGAACTTCTTTTTACATGCATAAAACGTTCCATAAAATTTTATAAAATTGTGGGATATGCGAAAAATTTATTCATTTTTCCATCTTTTTCTTTCTTTATCATCAATTTCTTCAGTTTATAATTATTTACTTTAATATGATTTATTATCTTGTTTTATTTATAATTATTGAATATGGAATTAATTTATTATCATTTCATGCAAGGAGCGTTCAAAAGTTATGTATTTTAGAATTTAAGCTTATTTCGACCAAGTTTTTTTGACACCACAAAAGCTTTTCAGACAAATTTTGATCAAATTAATTTTAAATTTTAAAATATATTTCATAAACGTTCCTCAATTTCATCCATATTTGATCTTTTCTATGCTATCATTTCATCACATCGGAGTTGATTTCCACAGTTAATTTGTCTTTCCAATCTTTTATAGTCAACAAATCGTAAAATGGATGACTTTAAATGATTGTAAATTTAAGTTTGAGAATTAAAACAATAAGTAGCTGGTTTTAAACTACATTATAAAGGTTAATGTCAATCAATAGTTTAAGAAAATCTCTTAAAATTTCTCAAACTTCGAAACAAAACAGATCTCAAATATTTCAAAATATTAAAGAAATCAAAATGTTTTTGACAACTAGTGATCATTAAGTTGCAATCTAATTGAGAATTGCAACAAAAACCAAATTCTAAATGAGAAAAGATATTCAGATGAGACCATAATCTATGGAAATCAACCCAAAAGCTTGAAATTTTCTAACAAAAACTTATTTTCTTCACATAGAAAACAATAGAAAACCATAAAACAAACATTTTCAACATTTTCAGCCTACGGCAGAACCATTTTCGTAAAACATTACATTTTCATTTCTTATTTTTTGTTGCTGTTTTCTAAAAACATTTGCATTAATAATTTTTTTTTCTCGCATAAAAATACCCCGAAAAATAATAATAGGTAATACCATAACTTTATTCTGCTCATAAAGAACCATAAGATAGTTAAAAATAAAGTCAAATCAAGACTCGAATGTACAAAATATAGACATTATTCTATACGTGTGAAAAAAGGAGAAAAAAAAAATACATTAAACACAGGACAAAATGAAACAATAAGAGGAAAGTCTATAGAATGAAATGGCACAACCACTGAAAAAACTAGTATGCAAAAAGTTTTTTTTATCCATCATGTAATGAAATTTGTTTCTAAAAATGAATGAGTGAGAGTTGTGAATATTTTGAAAAAATATCTAAATCGCATTCTTTCACTGTCTTTTTTTCTCATATTTTTTTTTTGATTTCATCACCAGCTTGACATCTATGCCTATGCTCCTTTTCACAAAAAGGTATTCGCATTATTGTAGACTAGTTTTTATCTGTTACTAATACTACTATCGCTACTTGTATCTTGTGTCAAATCAATAAAAATAGGCTCTGGCTCTAAATTATTATTAATTGAAGAAGCAGATTGATTAATGCCTTGTAACTGATTTAAATTTCCAGACGATGATGTTGCAGTCAGGACTGGTGTTGATGAAAATTGTGTTTGTGCACTACTCACAGTATAGTCCAATTTATAAATTGCATTTCTAGTCACATCTTCCATTGAAGCCTCTGAACAATTAAGACCAGTATGATTTATAGAGCCACAATTAAAACATGATTGAACTAATTTATTCGTTGGATAAGGTGTAGGTAATAAGACGGGTGGTGTCTGAGATGGTGATACTCTATTTTGTTGTGGCTGTGACGTTACAACTTGTGTCGGTGCCTGAATAAATGTCGTTCCAGGTGTATTGAATGGATATATGGCAGTTAGCTCACCATTTATTTGTGGGGGAAATTGCCTTTGTATAGTTGCCGTTCCAGGCAAATTTCTATAGGTTGGAAAATTGTGCATTTGTCCTCCAATTAACAAAAGATTACCACTTGAACTACTCGATACTAATGTATTTGGAACGGGATTATTTTGTGTCCCATTAAAATCTAGATTATTTGTTTGATGCATTTGTTGTTGTTGTTGTTGCTGCTGTGGTGATTGATTTCCACTGCCATTAAGTCTGTTTAAATTTAATGCTTTGTTTCTTAAACCGCTCGATTGTGATTGATTTGTATTACCATGTAAAACAATATTTGGATCTGTTGAGTTATTACTTTGTGGTGGAGGTGACAAATCTCCGCCAGTCGATGAGCCTGATTCACTTCCCGTTGTGGATTTATGATGATGCTGCTGCTGTATTAATTGTATAGGATCCAAATGCATTGGTACATAACTAATATGCGTTTGAGGCGATTGAATTTGTTGTTGTTGTTGTTGCTGCTGCTGTTGCATTTGCCATTGAAGTGTAGTCCAATTAGGCTTGTTACTTTGTCTCGGTAATGTATTTGACGGACGATTATAACCGTTACGAATCGTCAACGAATGTAGCTGGGAAATGGCACCATCCATGTTTAGCTGAAAATGGGATTTGATCGATCATCACGTCCAGACATTAAAGTGTTTTAAAAATTATCATATCATATGTATCATTATTATCAGTAATGATAATTGATTCTTTTAGTAGCGCAGTGTACTTTAATTATTACTTCTCATTTCTCTTTCTTTTTGTTCAGTTAATAGTTTTTTTTTTGTATGTGATACCAATATGATATATTTGTGTTTAATTGCAATATATACTCTTTGATATATATATTTATCTGGTTATTAAATACAATTATTTATATTTTTTTTTTGAATTTTGAACCAAATGTGAAAGCTTTATCTATTCTGTTCTGATCAATTCTGTACAATTTCATTTCATCGGTACTATTGACATTGACGATACCCAAAATCAATTATCCTTACTACTATAACGCGTTTTCAGTATTTTGTGCTTGTGAGACTTTTCTACAAAACTTACTTCGTCAAAGTTCTTAATCGTCTGGACCATTGTGATGTCGTTGCCCATGTTAAAATTTATGGTGCCACTTCCTTGCGTTTGCTGCTGGCTACTTTGTTGCGCATTCGTTGTTTGTTGTTGTAACGGAGGAGGTGTTGTTTCTGTCGTTGGTCTCGTTCTCATGCCTCTTCTAGGCGGCAGTTGTTGATTTTGTGTAACTGTTTGCGATTGTTGTGATCTTGCCGGACTTCCAGTTCTACTGTGTGTCGGCGATGACGGTTGACTTATATGTGGCGATGATGTTTGAGGAGGATATTGTTGTTGTGTCTAAAAAATCCAATTCCCAAAATTCATCAATTATGTCAAGAATCAAATGAGAAATTCTTAATTAACTTACCTCTATTGGAACAATTGTGGGATACATTTGTGGCTGAAACCTCATTTGCCAATGTGGCGGTGGAGTAGTGAAATCTGGTGGAATTACCATATTTGGAGCAGCTACTAAATGAGAAGGCAGACTTTCTACTGACAATGCGATTGTTGATGTTGAGGGATCTCCTGATGAAATTAGCTGTAAGAATTAGGAAAGAGAAACACGTGCTTAATGAATCTGTCCAGATTTATGTACACACGATTTGAGGAGACATGCATGACTCACAATCGCCGCATATATTTTCTCTTTCAGTAAGTAATTTAGTCGAGATAAATTTACATTAACAAGTGTCTGTCTCACTGCTTTTTCTTTCTTTCTTTTTAAGCAGTCCGTTCTATTGTCAAAAAAATTATTTATATTCAAGGAAAGCATATTCTTTCGATGAATTGAAATTTATCATAATAAAGTTTTTAAATGCCTATCACAAATGAAGAGCATTATCATGTGTCACTTGTTAGGGTCAAAAGGGGCACAGCATTCATTACATAAGCATAATTAGAAATACGGTGTATAGCTATGTAGTAGATAAGAGTTGGCATAAATAGTAAAGTATGATTTTTGGAGATTTAGTAACAACATATGTGCAACAGCGAGATAAATATGTATACATATAAAATGTAATAAAAATAGTGAATTTGAAACAAAGAAAAGGAAATACATACTGCAGCTTGGGGAAAGGCCATTGGCATCAGAATGGGATTTGGTATTTGCTGTTGGGTTGTAGGATTCATCATTTGTTGAGGATTAGGCTGTTGTTGAAAAGTTCCCGATTGAAAAGGTGGCGGAGATGCTGTTTGATGCTGAACACTAAATGACGACACTGGAGATGTTACTGGCGACGTACTTGTTGAGGATTGTTGTTGATTTAAATGCGCTTTACTCGATGTTATTTTACTATAAATCTCCCCACATTTTAGGCGTTGTTCGAAACTAAAGACTGGATGATTTGTGGCCATTGTGTAAACTAAAAGGAGCTCTTGAAGTGGATCACCATCACTGAATTTTGTAAAGTCTCTATCACCCCAACGATCGAGTGTTTTAAAGAGTTCATTTACTCCAGTTCGATTACATGCTCGCATTAATGCTAAATATAATGCCATTTTCCGTCTAATTTTCATATCTGTTGGCTGTCCCGATTGAAATGAACCTACATCAGTCACAAACTCTTGTGGATTGTTGACACGTAACTCAACACCGCGTAAATCTTGAGCATCGCGCCGACCCAACTCCTCAAGACAAGTTCCTAAAAAGCGTAGCTCAAATGGAAGGCACAAATTAAGTAGAGTACACATAACATCTATTCGTTTATAACTCTCTAGATTCTTAAACCAAGTCACCAGATCGTCTTTACAAATCATTGTGTATGCTATATATCCTTTGTGATTATATCAATGCACGACTCTCCTTTTTTTAATTTAAAACGCTAAATTGATGTATAGCTTTTGCGAGCTTTAAATTCAATTTTCAAAATTTCCACACTTTAAATGGAACCTAGTTCCTGCTACATAAACATTAATATTATAATTCACTTATTCTTTAGATATTGAAGAGTATTATCAACTTAAAACTAATGTTAAATGTTAATTTTTTAATTTTTCACTTTTCGCGTTTTCTTCTTCACTTTTTTCCTTCCTTTAATTCTTCTTTACGCTTCTTTATTTCAATTTTTTTCTGTCTTATTTGGCCTCTAATAATGCCAATTTTCGATTACTTATATTAATAATCGATTTATGTTGCTTACTCGCACCTTTTATGCGATTAATTTTGTCATTTTTTAGTAGTATAATTAATTTAAAAAATTTTACGAAAATTAATTTGACTGAAGTGCACAAATTCACACCCCCTTGCCATTTTATAGGGAGCTCAACTATCATCACACACACACTAGCTAATGCTTTCGATATTCACACGTCCAGCATAGCTCATTTCTTTTGTTTCCACTTAAATACACTTTCTTCAACTTTCTAATCAACTCCAATCCTTTTAATATCGTTAATTGATCGTAATCTGTTTATTTGGCATGTATAAATCATCCTGAATAGAGTATAAAAATTCTTTACTGGATGTTTGGTCAGGCATGCGAATATAGTCACAGAATGTTTTGGTCCTCATGATGTTTGCCTAATTGTTTGAAAACAGAATTTCTTAAAATTTCTGTAAGACAGATTGAATCAATGCCGCTTGATACACGTAGCTCATTAATATTTAGAGCATATCCGATGATGATTCTATGCTACTTCCTGAGATTTCTTTCATAAATGTTACCTAGACTGTAATTGTAGTTTCGTTCCCCTTGATTTTCTTTCGGAGCAATTTTCAAGAAAATTTTTATACTTTAAAGAAAATCGTGTGTCTGAAGGTTTATTGGACATAGATAACAAGGATGCCTGATCCAAATCCAAAGAACTCATTTGCTGCTTTCAGCGAAGCGATTGTTTCAATGATTGACAGTCCAGTAACATGGTTCCGAGGTTTGTTTTTAAAACTTTACTTTTTATCATATTATCGTCCAATTTCTTTAAATGTTACATAAATATTCCATAAAGCAATGCCATTCCTTTACTGCTTTATTATTCCATCATAGAATTAATGTATTTTATGCTCAATTTTATATTGCGTAATTTTTCAAATTTATAGAAAAAGTCGTAGAGCCAAATCGTAAACAATATCCTTGGTACCATCAACAATTTCGTAGAGTTCCCACAATTGATCAATGCTATACGGATGATTATGTCTGCATTTTTGAGGCTGATCAACAATGGAAACGCGATAAGATGGTTGAAAATGAAATTTTAAGTATAGTAAGAGCTCGATTCGAGGACTGTGTTCTTTACGAATCACCGGATCATATGACTAAATGCTTACCATTCAAAGAAGCTTACGAACGAGCAGCTGAAAATTGGTTCATTAAATGTAAGACTACTATTTGATTTTGATTTTACATTGTGTATTAAATTAACATTCTTAGACGGAGATCTTGGAGCAACTGGAAAGGCTCGTGAGTGCTACATGAAACAAAAGCATCGCTTGTTATGGGAAAGACGTCATGGAAAAGTAGGAACTGGTATGAAAGATTCAAAGAGTGCAGTTTCTACAGAAGAATAGATAATTATCAAGTTATATGTAAATACATGAGTTTGTTACAACAAGTCTCTGAAAGAAAATGGACATAAAAGAAGTCATTTAGTTGCCGAAAAAAAAAAATACATAAATAGTGACATTATGCCTTTATTGTCTCTTCTAGTTTATTATCCTACGCATATGTTATTATACTAATATTAATTGATTGTCATCAAAGGCTTATTCATTATTGACTTAGCTATTTTTAATCCACTCACGATTTTCTTTACGTCTTGCTTCTTTCTTTGACCACCCAATGGAATCATTACTGGCATATCCATAATTTGCCGACGAAATGATTTATAAAATACGAGCACTTGCGGATCTGCCCAAATTTGTTTGGCATCAAAGTCTAATATACGAAGACTATCCATAGATTGAGCTCTACTAAGTGCCACATATGCCTGACCAGCTTCAAAAACTTTAGATAATGACATTTCTACACAATCGAGTGTTAATCCTTGCGACTTGTGGATACTTATACAATATGCTAATTTAAGAGGAACTTGTTTTCTTTGTAAAACTGTGCCATTAGCAAGCTTTACTGTCCATTTTTCAGGCTTTGCTGTATATTCAACGTTGTTCTTAAATCTCACAACAGGAAATCCTTCAGAAAATTTCTTAATAACTCCTCTAGCACCATTCACAAGTCCATTACTTAAATTGACATTTTTGAGCAACATCACTTGACATCCTTCCTTTAATGTCAATTTATGTGGAACTGGAAGTTGAGAATCAAGAGTATTTGTGAGATAAGAATCAGAGTCAGTTGCCTCAAACATCTTCTCTGGAGTTTTTAAACTTGCCAAACGACTTTTATTAATGCTATCAGCATCTTGAGTATGAGAACAAAGCTGAGTAGCAATGATTCCATTAAATTCAATTTTCTGTCGACCTGTTGACAATAGTTTTTCAGTCATTTCAGGTGTGACTCGTCCAATTCTTATGCTGTTGAGAATTTCTACAAATTTTGGATCACTTTGTCGATAGATTTTTCTCAGTTCAAATGATGCATTAATGCAGTTTTGCCATTGTTTTGCTTGAAAACAAAACCTTTTACGCTGTGGCTGATTCATACCTTCAAACGCGTTTCCTTGTTGTCTCTTAATGACTGGTGGAAGCTATAAAAATAGAGTAGTGATTAGATCGATAAGATTATTATTGAATTTCTTATATCTTACCTGAAAGAAATCACCACATAAGATTAATTGGATGCCCCCAAACGGCTTGTCATTTCCTCGAACTTCTCGAGCGACTGCTTCAATCAGCTGTAATTAAAATATTATTAAATAACTTGAGAAGATGTCAAGACAGTAAACTTACATCAAAGAAATCAGCATCGACCATAGAGATTTCGTCAATGATGAGTATTTTGCAACGTCTATAAGCTTGTGAAATAGCAGGTCTTCGAGCCATTTCAATTGATCTTTTCAAGCTATGATCACCAGCACCGATTCCAGCGAAAGAATGTAAAGTTACGCCACCAATAAGGCATGCAGCAACTCCTGTAGAAGCACAAATTGTCAATCCTTGTGGTGGAAATGTTGATATGATTTTCCTTAATAAAAAAGACTTTCCGGTTCCAGCACTTCCAGTAAAAAACACGTTACGTCCACTCATACATGCTAGATAAAACATAACAGAATTTCAATTTTTAAAGCTTTATGCTATAGATGTCGCTCTATTAAAATCATAGTTGCTATAGATATTTTTGTTTACATCCAAAAATAATTTAATTTATCAAAATTTCAAAATAGTCACAGAAAATTTGTGTTTTGAGTCATATCTAGTAATATTAATGCGTAATTGTAAATAAAAGGCAAAGAAAATGGAGTTACCGGTTAAAACTAATGCCTTTCAAATAAAACCTGATCTAGAAAACATAATTCCACCGATGGAAGTTAAGAAAATTATCTGCAAAATTCTCAATGAAACTTTACTGAGTAGGTACAAATTTAGTTGATAATATGAGTGACTTTATAAGTCTCAATTTTTAAGATAAAAGCTACACAACAGAGAATGCCAAGATCTGGACAAAGAGTATTGCAGATGACATTAATAGAAGTTTGAATCAAATTACGCAAAAGTATAAGCATGTCGTTCAGGTACTCAATTATATCAATAGTTTTAAACATAGAAAGTTATCCAATATAAATTGTAGGTAGTGATAACACAGAAAATAGGTCAAGGATTTAAATTTACAGCACGTAGTCGCTGGGATGTTGATACAGATCGTCAAATAACTGAATCGTTTATTAATGAGACTATAATATGTATAGCAACTGTCTTTGGAGTGTACTTATATTAAATAAAATAAAATTATTACCTTGTAAAATAGCATTTTGTTCATCATTCAGTCTCTCCAACTGTGCAATTTCATTTGGATTTGCCATGAAACTTTTTTCTGTATTTTCTTCCTTAACTTTTGGAGCATACAACTGTTTAGGAGCTTTTGGATTATCACTTTGCTTTGCATCGATTAAACGACGTTTTTTAGATCCAGGTGAGGGAGTTGTCAATGTACTCTTACTTATTGCTTGCTTTTTTGCACGATCCAGTTCAGCATTAGTGATTGGTGAGATTTCATCAAATTGACTGCATTTTTCTGATAGCAAATGTTCTCTTAACTTTTTATGCATTTGTTCCTTAGTAATACTTTTATTATCCTCCTGATCTTTTGTCAATTTTATGTAAATTGTTTTAAGAAACATCATTAAACTGGATGGTGGTGAGTTATTGATGAAAACTGTACATTTTTCATTCTTAAAGCTAATACTGGCTTTTCCTTCGGCCATAAACTTTTTATGGACATTAATATCCTTCAATTTAAGCTTTGTTGATTGCATTTTGTCCTGTGATATTTCAATAAACAACTCACGAATATCATTTCTTAGAATTTTCATCATTCCTGACTTGTACAGAACTTTCTTTGTAGTCATAGCTTGTGAATTTAACCATTCTACGGTAATACAACCTACTACTGCTGGATCTTCCATTTTAAATGAACACAAAGTTAATTAAATTTGATATTTAAAGCAATGTTTACGCTTGAAACTTGTGAGATTTAAACAACCGTTAAATTGTAAATAATTTGAATTTAAAATTGAACTATCTCTTCGGGGGTGTGAAAATAAGCATTGATGAATTGCAGAATCACAGTGAATAATAAAGGAAAAGTTAAATTAATTAAATTATAAGGTAAATACGCGATTCATTGCTTCAAAAACTAGTGTATTTAATCAAGTAAATATCAAACTTTACTAGCAAAATGGTAGCAAGTCAAGATGTTGAGATGGAAGTCGTAGAAAGTACGGAAAATGCAGAACCGAAAAAAGATACAGACGTTTTGTCTGTTCAAGAAATCCGTGAACATGTTAAACTCATCGATAAAGCTGTATCTAGTAAAGAACCTCGCTTTATATTGAGAGTATTACGTTCATTGCCTAATACTCGACGTAAATTAAATCCTAATGTTTTGAGAGCACTAGCAAGTCAGTTATATCCAAGTAATGAACGTGATGCAATTTTGGTGTATGTAGAGGAGGCTACTAATCCAGAAATTGAAGTAACTCGTCCAAAATCTATCAAAACACCACTCCCAGAAGTCGATGCATACTTCCATTTGCTATCATTAGTACGATTACTTGATGCAAATCTCATAGAAAGAGCATCTACTTGTGGTAAGATACAACTGGTTTTTTTGCAATCTCATTGTCCTTAATAAAATTTGTGCACAAATTTTTTTAGCTCAACAATTGATGACAAAGATTATGTCGCAAAATCGTCGATCTCTGGATCTTATTGCTGCAAAGAGTTATTTCTATCATTCACGAGTTGCTGAATTGACAAACAAGTTGGACACTATTCGAGGATTCTTACATGCTCGCTTGAGAACAGCAACACTTCGTAATGACTTTGAGGGTCAAGCTGTTTTGATCAATTGTCTTTTAAGAAATTACTTACATTATTCACTCTACGATCAAGCTGATAAGTTGGTCAATAAATCAGTCTTTCCTGAAACTGCAAGTAACAATGAATGGGCTAGATTTTTGTACTATTTGGGTCGCATAAAGGCCGCAAAATTAGAATATAGTGTAGCACATAAGCACCTTATTCAGGCATTAAGAAAAGCTCCTCAGCATGCAGCTGTAGGTTTCCGTCAAACTGTTCAGAAATTAGTGATAGTTGTTGAATTATTATTGGGTGACATACCTGAACGACAAATCTTTCGTCAAACGGCTTTACGCCGTTCCTTGGTTCCATATTTTCAACTGACTCAAGCTGTTCGTTTGGGTAACTTGAAGCGATTCGGAGAAGTTCTTACAAATTTCGGTGAAAAATTCCGTCACGATCATACATTTACTCTCATCATTCGTTTGAGACATAATGTCATTAAGACTGCAATCAGATCAATTGGATTATCTTATTCGCGTATATCACCAGCTGATATAGCAAAGAAATTAGGAATCGATTCGAAGGAAGATGCTGAATTTATTGTTGCTAAAGCTATTCGTGATGGTGTTATTGAGGCAACTTTAGATCCTGAGAAGGGCTACATGAGAAGCAAAGAGAGCACAGACATTTATTCTACTCGCGAGCCTCAATTAGCTTTTCATCAACGCATAGTCTTTTGCTTAGATTTACATAATCAATCAGTCAAAGCAATGCGTTATCCACCAAAATCTTATGGAAAGGATTTGGAAAGTGCTGAAGAAAGAATCGAACGAGAACAACAGGAAGTCGAATTAGCAAAGGAAATGGCTGAAGATGACGATGATGGATTTTAAATTTATAATTTTGTATTATTTTCAATTAATGGAAATTTTCGTGAAATTTATTCTCGCTTCGTAAAACTTATTAATAAAACATGAAACATACTAAAAAACGGAAGCAATTTGTTATTAATTTTTAACTCACTTTATTCAAAGATCAGTTCCAGTTCAATGAAAAGGAACAAGTCAATTTTTGATTATTTTTTTTATAAAAACATTTTTTATCCTTCAAATATCTAATGTATATCCTTATATAAAACAATATAATATATTGAAAAATTCAGCAGGTTCCATCGTCATTCATACATTTATTAAAAATTGACATTCTTTTAATTTTCTATGCTTGCAGTTTAACATTAATACTTGCATTATTTTTCATTACTCAGACGGAGCAATTCATCTACATTAAATTTATGCATTGCAAAAAAAAGTATATTTATATCCTTAAATACAATCATATGTTCTTTTTTATTTTGATTAAAATCAGGGAAGAAAAGGAAGGAAACAGTGAAGACACATTAGTTAAAGCAAAACAAAAACTATTTAACGACGCTATAAACGAATTATTAGGGTCATAAAATTAGATATCAACAATTATTATTTCTCTGAATTAAAATTTAATCACACAGTAAAGTTTTTTTTTGTTTGTCTCAGATAGTCATCAATCAATACAACATTAACAATCTTATTCATTATGTCCTTAAACATTCTCACCATTAAAAATTGAAAGATTTTTAATCTTTTTAACAAGTAATTCAAAGCTAGGACGTTGATCTGAATTATAGTTCCAGCATACCATCAATAAGTTATCATAAATTAATGGCGGACAAAAATTTGGACATCTCAGTCGTTGGCCTGCTTTTAGTGCATTAAGTATGTCTTCACCCGTTAATTTCTTATCTATTAAGTCTGGCGATTCGCCAAATGAGAATATTTCAAATAATGTTACACCAAAAGACCAAACATCTGATTTTGAGCTGAATTTGGGATACTCAATTGTTTCTGGCGCATACCACATTAGTGGAAGATCTCGCTTCGTCGAGCATTCATAGTATCCATTTTGATTTGTAAACTGAGCAAGTCCGAAATCTAAAATCATCAAAATAAATTTAATATCGTACTTTATTTGCATAAATGGATATAAGGAAACTTACCTGCAATTTTGCACTTTGTGTCGAAATAATCGACGCTGTTATTGAAATTAACAAGGACATTTCTCGCAGCTAAATCACGGTGCACAATATTCTTCTGCTCAAGATAGTACATTCCCTAAAATATATATAAATTCACATTAGAATGATATCGATAAAACCGAAGAAGCAATATGACATACTTTGGCAATATCCAACGCAAAGTGCAATAAATTCTCAACAACTAAGTTCGGTTGATTAGACGGCAGATACGATAAAAGCGACTGACTCATTTTCTCCATAATAATCAAAAGTGGATTATCACAATAGTCATAAATTTCGACGATATTTTCATGCTTAAGACTTTTCATTATTTTAGCCTCACGTAGTATGTCCTTTTGTTGTGCATTTGATTCCGTGATTTTAAAGCATTTTATAGCAACAGGTTTCTCAATCTTTTCTCCTTCATTGTCTATTTCCATGCATCCTTGAAACACAGTGCCAAAATTACCCTGCAATGAAAATTTGTATGTTAAGGTGTGTCACAGTCATGTCAGTTGTTTTATATAAGTTTCTTACCGATCCAATTTTTCCTTGAAATATTAAATTAGTCGTGGCATCTCCAATCGCAAGAACTCCAGGAATTTCACTATATTGAAATAGAAAGTCATCATCGTCAAATGCATTTACTGTCGATTGTGATGATGTGGACGAATTTTCATGTAGTAACGACATTTGACTTGATCCACCACCGTTACTTGCTATACTTGAATTATCAATATAATTTGTTGTAAATGATGTACTAGGGTTTGATCCTATATAAGTATGATCTGTTTCCCTCGATAGTAAACTTAAACCACCATAATAATTATCTATTGAGCCATTTACTTTTATTTTCCCATTCTTGGGTGTTCCATTCATTTTTGGTGTAACTTTAGTACTTTCTCGACTGGTTGTTGGAATTGAATAGTGTCGGGATAAAAGTGTTTCTGAAAAAAAAATTATTAGTAATGATAAATTCAGTCCTTTAAAGGCTTTGGTGTCAACTTACTGTATTCCAATAAAAGCGTAAAGATTTTCTGAGGTGAAAATCGTCTGTCAGCGTCTTGATCCCATCCTGACTTCATTATATGCTCATATAGCCGTGGTAAATTATTGCATTCTGTAGGTTTTTGTAATCTTCTACCAGACATAAAATATTCCATTGGATTTTCAACAATTGGCGTGATTCCTCGAGAAAATATTTCCCATAATGTTGTAGCATAAGCCCAAATATCAGCCTTCATATTATTCCGACTTGCATTTAAATTCTCATAATCCTCTATCGGGATCCATGGGATATCCTTTTCTGTATAATTATACGGTAGACCAGGATCACCGAGTTTGACAAAAAAGTCATTATTTTCAGGTAAAAATTGCGTCACTTCTAAGCTTGAACATCTTATTCGTCCATGAACTATTTGTTTTTCTTGCTGCAAAGACACAAAAATAGATAAAATATTATCATTTAAGGAAATGGCAAAATGACTTACTAAATAATGAAGTGCCTTAGCTAATGAATATGCAGTCTCGACAAGATTTAATAAAATAACATGCTTTCTATATCTATGTGAGCGTAAAAATTCATCTAATGGTCCAAACTTTATTGATTCAAGCACCAAAGAAATTGGATTTTGTAGCGTTATTCCATGCATTTTTACAATTTCTGATAAGTCTAATTTAGCCCATTTATCGGCCAACTTCATAAAGTCGAGCAGTCTAGTAGATATTTCAGTGGGTTTTAATATTTTCAATGTAACTTCGGCATTCTTTTTTCCCGGCTGAATATGTTCAGCCTTCATTCGTGTAAATACTCCATCGCCAAAGTTTTTCTCTTCCCATTTGTACAACCTCAAGTCATCTACTGCATTTAAAACATGAGGATTTGCTCCTCTTAATCCCGAAGCTGCTACAACTGGCGTTGATGGGACTGATTTTGTGCCAGTTTGACATAATAAAAGCAACGGAGATTTATCATATTCTGATGGAGGTAATCTAAAGTATCTTCCATCTTCTATCTTAATGCTTTTAGCGAGATCAATTAAATCTTCAAATTCTCCAGATAGCTCACCATCCTTATCATATAGTTTCCACTTTTCAGTCTCACCATTTATCTTATATGTCTCAATTTGTTGATTTGTTTTAGTCACAATATCAATATAATAAATGTCATAGATTTTCTCACATTGACGAATAATAAATGTTCCGACACTCGTAATTTTATCGGTTGTTATATTCATTTTACTATCAATTTTACTGTACGAATATTTTCCACCAATCGGCCCATGTATTTTTAATTCCGTAAGAAACTTTAGCGAAGGAGAACTAAGCAATGAGGAGTAATAATAAAAGGATATAAATTGAATATTAAATTAATTATTTAAGCAGGAAGCTTATCTTACCTAAGCGAAGTACAAAGATCCATATTCCATTTAACCATTAATCGATAATATAAATTTATACAACTAATAAAAGATTCAATTTCTTCAGTACTCTCCATAAAAATTGGCGATCCTTGCGGATAGTTTTGTATTTCGAAGCTGACTTGATTAGCCTCGGTGTCTGTTTGAACAGCATAAAAACCAGCCATTGTTGAAACATGTTTCCACTATAAGATACAACTAAGTTCATTAGTATATTGACGGAAAAACGCGCTCGTAATTTGAGATAAATATTTCACATTAGAAAAAGAGATAAATCTCATGCAAATGAATCATTGATGCAGGCAGTCGAGAATAATAAAAAAATTAATTAATTCTAATCAAATGAAAACGCAAAACTTAATGCTACTCATATTCAAAATAGATTAAATCCCTTTAATAAATTAATTTTTCAAATTTTACAATAAAATATGAATTTAATGGCTTTTAACTTTGAACTGCCTGCATGCAATGTTGAGCATAATTAAATATTAACTTACCAAGTCTTTGTATCGATAGTGAATTCGCAAACCAGGTTGATCATGATGATAAGGAGCTATTTGAAGTCGAACACGACATTTTCCATCCTTTAATCCATCTTCCTTTGGATATGGTGTCATTCCCCAGTACTCTTCTGTTAAATAATTCGGTGCTCTAGATTCTATTTGTTGCAAATAAACACTTTTGACATAACTGGAAATGGAAACAATTTCATTAAATATTCAGGTATATAATTTCTTCGTGAATGAATCAACTTACAATGCATCATATACTTTATTTTCTTGAATGCTTTTGAGTGACTTTTCTATTTTGTTTTTCAGTATTAATGAGTACGGCCAATCCCGATATCGTCTTGCCAATTTCTTTGGAATGTAATTCTTGTAGTTATCCAACAAATAATCGATTTTGCTATTTTTCTCAATCATCTCCAAATACATATCGGTGACACATAAACCGAGGATGCCATACTTGTAATTTGGATACTCTATTTCTGGAATTGCATCGTGCAAAACGTCGAATCGAACTTGATGATAAAAATAGTCATATGTATTTTTATCCAACTGATTCAAGTCGAATATTTTTGGAATCTTTAAATAGATTTAAAATAAATAAGTTCATTCATAAAACAGATGATTTAGTTTAGTAAAATACCTTTATTCGAACTCTAAACTCGTAGTATTGATCAGCAACAAGTGGACGTGATCCGGCGAGCCATAAGTCTTTTCCGTGAATTCTTAGTCCGAAAAGAAGTTGAACTAATGGCGGAAAGTTCCATTGACGACACAATCGTTTGCAGAAATCTTCACATGTATCATTAATATCATGCACAAACTCCTCAAATTTTCCGGTTTTGTAGTAAAATATGTGATTTTTTATTTCAGTCGAGTCCATTTCCCACATTTTTAAAGATTTTTATTTTCTAATCAACTTAAACTGTGACTTATATTTTCTAGATTTAAAGTTTCACATTTATCACACTATATTTTTTTCATATCATTTAGAAACAAAAAAAGTTACGATTCATCATAATGTGAATGCTTTACTATTAACTCAACTATGTTTCTAATTATTTTAAAAATAATAATAAAATGAAAAGCACTTTATCAGCACATGCCGTGAACTTAAACTGACTACGTACGAAAGTCTTTTAAAATATTAAAATGATTTTTGTATTATGCTGGTGGTGTCACACTTTATAAAACAATTGACATCTGCACTGTGTGTTGCTATCACGGCAAAATATCTGCAATGAAATTAAATGGTGCCTATTTAATACGAAATAAGACAAAATTATATAAATTCATTAAATATTGATTCTCAAAACTCGTCATTTCCATAATTATGTCCACATTTTTGCATATGATTACTAGGAACAGATTGAATATAGTTGTGAATGCAATGAATACAAAGTTGTACAATTCAGGTGGACTCGATACAATTGCACTTATGCTTTTTACATTCATTTCAAAAGGAATTAATTATTGTCGATATAAACACAGTATCAATGTAGGTAATGACTAAATAGAAATTAAATATAAATGATGATAAACAAACGGAATTGTGTTCAGCTTGCGTTTGACGCCTACAATGTTCAATTTTAAAGCAAATTTTTTTATAAAACCCAAATGTTTAGTAAAGGAAATCTCTGAATGATGGTCATTAAATGCACTAATTTATGCAGTACTTCCAGCAAGCTTCATGCAAAATAAATTCATTGGAAATCGTAAAGATTAAAAAGATGTTACTTACAAATATTTATATATTATTTATCTTTCAGCGATGAAGCACAAGCAAGTTAAATAGCACTATACAGCTAAGAAAAAAGCCATGAAAGAGACTTGTTTGTCAATTTACGCAGTGCAGACGAGTTTTCTTCTCTTAATTTATTTTATTTTTTTTTATCTTTTAACTCGATTGATTAATTATTCTTATCATTTTTTTACACTCTTTTACATTGCAAATTGACACTTATTTTGAGAATTTCATTAATTTAAACTTTTAAACTTTGCATCTCATCAATTAATATTCATTGAAATTAACTTAATTTGACTGTAAAACCCAACTCATGTTTATTTACTTATTTATTCAGGCTTCCATTACTGTTATTATTATTCCTTTTTCTTATTTAGATTCTATTTTTTGATTTCTCTTGTGATAATCTTCTTTTTGTACTGGAATTAATATTGCACGTAATTTTAAAGTTTATTAACAATTCTAAAGCATAATTAAAATTTGTTTTCTTCTGATAAGCACTAATAAAAAAAATGTATATAGCCGATATAAAAGATATTCTGAAAATTTTCGATGAACAAGTTAATAAACAACTATAATTCACTTTGTTTTATACTTCCACTTTTAAATCCTTTAATTCACTTTAATTTATATGTGTTTTGATCTTGCTTTGTACATCACATCTTTATAATACCTTTTACATACTTTTTGCCTTGTTAAACATGCAACAACTTAATTAAATTCACGATTTTTGTTGAGAGACAAAGTGCTCGATTTATTTTAAAATTTTCTGTTCAATTTCACGTAGCTTTCTTTTTGAAATTTGAATTTTCTTAAATTCGTTAAACTTTTTAATTTTAAAACCTCTTTTATTGTCTTTAAAATTACTTCCAATTAATATAATTAAGCAGACTTTTGAATAATCTTATTAGAATCCTAATAATCTAGATGCTTTTACTGGCAAAACCACGTAAAATCCCAAAAAATTATAAAGTGAAAAAGTTTAAAACCAAATTCAAATGAAAATCTAACGGAAATTATAAAAATAATCCAAAAACAGGTAAATTAAGCATTATAAAGTGATAGGGTAGTTAAAATCAGTAAAGAAATTAAACGAGTAACGAGTGCAGCATAAGTTTGGCATGATTTTTGACAAGGGCGAGATTTTAGAGCAAAACAAAAGTTTATAAAAAAAAATTCATTTGTTCAGACTAATTCACAAAGAATAGACGTAACAAGATTGGTTGTAAAAAATTGCACATAAAGAAGCTTTGTTGAGTGTTTAAAATAATTAAAAAGTGATTCATAATATTTAAAAATAGTCTAGTTAAAAAAATCAATCAGCAAAATGCAAAAAGATGTAACAAAAAAGTCGAAAATGTAGATCCACAATAAAAATTTGTAATTTCTGTGCAAAATCACCATTAAGCAATGCATCAAAAGTTAATTATAGTGTTGTAATAATCAAGAGAATAGAAGCATAGCATTAAAATAAATTGAAACTCAGTGTATTGTGGATTTTTTTATTATAAGTTTTGTGTAATATTAGGAATAAAAATAATATCCATCGAAAATGGACTGGATCATAAGCGATGAATATAAGCTTACAGTTGGTACGACAGACAAAACATTATTGGCATATAACTACGCTATGCGAAATTGAAATATTTATAGAATTTCGACTTCCTTATTTATCCACTCAAGCATATTTCTCCTTGTCTAATACACTTCACTTGAAGCTTTCCTTATCAAACTGTATTACTTATTTGGCAAATTGAGTTATAAAGAAGTCAGACCCCCTATCAAAAATATAGACTATAGAGATCAACTTGATTTCATTTCGCTAAAATGAAGAGAAAAAAAATCTTAATCTAATAATTTATTAATAATCGTTTAGGAAATGTCCTTGGGCATCTCGCAGCAGCTGCAATGATATGTGGTGGTGTTCTTCCATATGTACCACAATATCGTCAGATTTATAGAACACAAGATCCGGAAGGCTTTTCCCTTCATGTATGCCTAGCACTTCTCATAGCAAACACTTTAAGAATATTCTTTTGGTAAGTACCAACATCATTATTAATGAATAAATAAGTAAGAAACAAAAAAACAACAACTCCGTACTTTAAACTTTTCTATTCAATTCGTTAATCTGTGTGTTTTTTTCGTACGTAATTCATGCTATAATAATTTCGTTCAATCGCGTGCCAACAAAAAAACAAATATCATATGCTGACAGCGGTCACTCAGTAAAATGTGACAGAAAACTAAACTTTGTTTTTATTTTTATCATTATTCACTTTCATTGAAGAGAAATGTAGTTTGACCTTTGCTTTTGTGCCATTTATGGTTCTTTATCCATTTGTCATCATAAAATGCAGTTTGTATTCTTTCCCTATTTCTTTACATAGATAAGATGACTCATGCGAAAGATTTATGATGGTCTGTAAACAAATTATTCTCTCCTCTTCTTTCAGTTCTTGCTATCAGATTCATACATCTTATCGTACTTTACATAGTTTAGTTATTTAAAGAAAATGTCTATAAAACATGATCTTTCGTCTTACAATATTTTGCTTAATCAAACATAATTTAATGCAGGAAATATTTCATTTTCATTTTTTTTTTGTGTGTATTCATTATAAGTCTTGCGTAAGAAAATTGCTGCACGTTTCATTATATTGTTTTCGTTGAGTGCAGCATACACTTTCTTTGAAAGATCTTTGATATTATCTTTTGTTCAGCTTAGCACATGATGACCAATGATGACAGTCTTTTATTACTATACAATGATGATTATTTGTCAGTGCTATAAAAGTTATTTGACTTCTAGGAAAATATCATGTTCTGTGATAAAATCAAGTCATTCATAATTAAAGCAGACAAATTTGCTTCAAATTAATCACACATGTTGATGAATTAAAGAGTCTGAGGAATCATCTTAAGAACCCAAAAAAATTTGATCAATCATCAAGTTCTTCTTGCTTTTTATTTTCTCCCATAAAACTCTATGAATTCTCATAGAGATATATTAATAACTTGAAGGCTGAAGCTGTAATACAAGAAATTTTTCTATTGCCTTAAGATTTATCATCCTACATCACACTCTTTTTCCTTTACTATTGTTCTAAAATGTCTTTCGGAATTATGTCATGAAGATACTTTTTTCATTACAATAAGTACCGACCGATTTAAGTTGAAACAGTATTATCTTACATTGTTCGTAATACTTCATATGTTATAACTACTATGCTTTTTGTAAAATTTTTCTGCTGACGTTTGTGCTTCTTAGGCACGAAATAGATTAAAAGCTGGAACGGATGAGAACCTACTCTAATTATAATGTTGAATGTGATGTCAATTTTTTCAAAGAAAATTTCTTCAAATATTTGCTTTGCTGAATTTCATTCAGCTGAACTATTTATGTAGCTATTCATTAATCTTTTTTCAATGAATGGTTTTCTTTTAATAACCATCAAGCTTTATAAACTATGTAAAGAAATATGAATCAGACTTCTTTCTCGGATTTTGTTGATGTTTTTTTGTTAACTTTATTTTCACCATGAATTTAATAACATAAAAGAAGAAGTAAGTCAAACTACTTTGTGAGTTGTTAAATCAAAACTTTAGAGATTAAGTTCTTTCGAGACACTTGAAGAATTTTCATTGTTTTTAGAAAAGTATAGAATTGACAAGTTTATCTTGAGATAATAAAGTTCTCATTGACAAACCATAACCACATATCTCTTATGACATTTCAAAGTAATTAACAAGATCTTTTGTTTGTTTCATAGGTTTTCAAAACGCTACGAGCTTCCACTTCTCATCCAAAGTGTTGTTATGAATATCACCATGTTCCTGATGATCCATTTATGTGTAAAAGTTCGACGTAATAATGCAATTATGAGGGCAAGAGAGCGTGTTTTCTCAGGTAAAATAAATCAATTTATCTTCTCCTGTAATTGAAGGATGATTTCTTTTTTCGCGTGAAGTGAATTGCTTATCTCGTTTTATTTATTGAATGAGTAAAGAAATAACAAACTTAAGAAGCTTTTAGCTGGGAAATATGATCTTGAATACAAAGTTTTTATTTTCTGTTTATTTTAAGAGCTTTTAAAATTATTTCTCTATTTGAGAATATGCATTATTATCATATTGTGCAACATTTTTATATTATAATATCCTCTTTAGAAATTACACGAAAATATGTCTTAGTAATTGGCAAAAAACAAAAGTATTAATAATTTTAAGCTAAGTGCAAATCTAAAACACATTTTTGTATTCCTTACTGTAAAATTGTATCGTAAAAACTGAAAAAATTCAAGTCAATAATATTATTTGAAGATCAAGCAGTAACATCTGTTGATGGAATATCGCCAATCAATAAACCAAACACCAACAGTGAATCACGTCAGCCGTCTTCTGAAAACACAGTAATTTCACAGTCGAAACATTATATCAGCGGTATGTTCCTTTCCCTCAAAACAAGCAAATATATATTCTTTCATCACTTTGTATACTTTACCTTTCTATTTTTTTTCAACTCCTATAATGGAAAATTGTGTGTCTGCTGTTTTAACTGCTAATTCATTCTTCACACTATAACTCATAGCATTAATTTTTCCTTACTAATCATATTGTATATATTCCTATCTATTTAGCACCAATAACACTAAAAATGTGAATATCACAGATTCTTCGAAATCTTTTTTATGTCCCGAGTGACAAATCAATCGTTTGACAATTTTAATTGTATGGCTGGCTAAATTTCCTTAATTAATTTGTTCCTTAATGGAAATTCACTGTGTCCATTTTTCATACAATTTTCACTGTCACGAATCGTTTGTCGGGAAAGTGCAAGGAAGAAACACATGCATTTTGTTCTCATTGGTTTCTTTCCGTGCTGTTGACATTCATTATAATTTTCGCACACAATAAAATACTTAATTTTCGTGTATTATACTATGTATGTCTCACTGAATGAAAGTCATATGTAAAAAAAATATTATTTTCGTTTCTGAATATTAATTGTGAGACAAAAAAAGTTTGCAAACAAAAAATGTGTTCATGTATACTCAATAATCACAGCACATCATAAATGAATCTTCTGTTTCTACTTGTGTGGTAGATTGATCGCGTGTATATAAATGAGTAGTTTATAGTATAGAGTCCGTGTGATTGAATTCCATGATTCAAATGTGAAAAAAAAACTAGTGTATCGGGTAGAAACCCAATGCGGATATATTCACACCGTACCATCAAAAGTTTTACATCAATAGAATAAGAATAAGTTTTAAGCACTAGAATATTTATGCAAAGTTTCGATCCATTTGGATAACTCTCAAAGAAAAAAAGTGAGAAAATTGATTTTGACTAGGGTCGCCCCTAGTCTTTGCTCAAAAAAATTTTAGGATGTTTTATTTGTTTTTGTTTTAAGCACTAAAATATTTATGCAAAGTTTCAATCCATTTGGATAAACCCTCGAAGAAAAAAGTGACAAAATTGATTTTGACTAGGGTCGCCTCTAGTCCAAAATTGAAAATGTATTTCCTACTTGGTTCTTTGCTCGAAAAAATTTGAGGATGTTTTATTTGTATTTGTTTTAAGCACTAGAATATTTATGCAAAGTTTCAATCCATTTGGATAAACCCTCGAAGAAAAAAGTGACAAAATTGATTTTGACTAGGGTCGCCTCTAGTCCAAAATTGAAAATGTATTTACTACTTGGTTCTTTGCTCAAAAAAATTCAAGAAGTTTTATTTGTATTTGTTTTAAGCACTAGAATATTTATGCAAAGTTTCAATCCATTTGTATAAACCCTCGAAGAAAAAAAGTGACAAAATTGATTTTGACTAGGGTCGCCCCTAGTCCAAAATTGAAAATGTATTTCCTACTTGGTTCTTTGCTCAAAAAAATTTGAGGATGTTTTATTTGTATTTGTTTTAAGCACTTAAATATTTATGCAAAGTTTCAATCCATTTGGATAAACCCTCGAAGAAAAAAGTGACAAAATTGATTTTGACTAGGGTCGCCCCTAGTCCAAAATTGAAAATGTATTTCCTACTTGGTTCTTTGCTCAAAAAAATTCAAGAAGTTTTATTTGTATTTGTTTTAAGCACTAAAATATTTATGCAAAGTTTCAATCCATTTGTATAAACCCTCGAAGAAAAAAGTGACAAAATTGATTTTGACTAGGGTCGCCCCTAGTCCAAAATTGAAAATGTATTTCCTACTTGGTTCTTTGCTCAAAAAAATTTTAGGATGTTTTATTTGTATTTGTTTTAAGCACCAAAATATTTATGCAAAGTTTCAATCCATTTGAATAAACCCTCGAAGAAAAAAGTGACAAAATTGATTTTGACTAGGGTCGCCCCTAGTCCAAAATTGAAAATGTATTTCCTACTTGGTTCTTTGCTCAAAAAAATTTTAGGATGTTTTATTTGTATTTGTTTTTTCCCTTTTTCTGAAGCAACGGCTGTTCCTACCTTGCCTAAAAACAATACAGCTCTTTTATAGAGCAGCACTGATCAAATGTAAAAATCTAGAAGTCTCTACAATGTCTCGTTATTGAGATTTCTTGCTGATTAACTTGCTTGTTTGCTTGTTTGCTTGCTTACAGAAAGCGTATTTTGCGATTTTCTCAGCAATGTCCCAACCAATTTGAAATCTGTTTTTCGCAAAAGATGTGAAATTCAAGGCACAAACTATTCATCTCTGAACATTTTAAGCTATCTTGCTCCATATCCTCACAAAATTCAAAAAACTGATTTTTCAATCTAAACAAAACCAATAGATTCACACGTGAAAACGGTGTGAATATAAAAAATCCGCTGTAATATTTAATCGAGCGGCTACTTGCTTTATTGCAAAAAATCTGTACATATTAAATGCTATTGTTATTTCATTAGAAATTCAAGGATAATAATTTGAATAATTGACTTACTTTTGGATCTTTTTATCAATAATTCATTGAGTAGGAATTCCTTTTGGGTAGACATCCATTATTATTACTTGATAGAGATTTAGTATAAGATTATGTCTTACAGAAAAGGTTTTGTATGTTATTAATTCAACGAAAAAAAAAACTTTCTACTATCATTTACAAGGTTCTTACTCCAATTTTAAACCACTATCAATGGTATAAAGCATGTAAATACATTAATGAAACAACATAAGATAGACTATAAAGCACACCTGTAAACACTGATTTTATTTGATTCAATCAAACCTTCTAATCATAGGAATTTTATTTCATTAGCATGCAATGCTTCATACTTCGACTCTTGTAATTTTCTATCTTGTTAGGACGAAAAATACAAATTATGGAAATCAATTTGAAGAAATGTCAATTAAGAAGCAAATAGAAACAAGGACGAAGGTGTGAGAAAATGTCACAGATATTGTTTTTTACATGCATGGCATTTGCATACATTGCTAATTTAAAATGTCAAGATAAAAAAAAAATTGTCGAAGTAAAAAGGTGTAAATGGCGATATTCACAAAGTATTTTGATAGGTGAATGTACGAATATTACGGTATTGTTTGACTGTTGTGCCGATTTTTTGTTCAGAACCAGAAATATAAAATGAAAATCACCTTCAAATTCATTCATCAAGGTTTCATATGGTTGTTAAATCATTCTAAATTGCGGCGTGAACTTTAGTCAATTTCACAACGAAAAAAAAAAGTAGAAATCAACCTGCTCGATTCATGCAAGAAATCAAATTGGCACACAACACACCTTCGATTTTTAATATTAATCTAATCAGAAATGCGCTTCAGTTAGCATTTTTTTATGATCTTTTCCACATTTTTATGTGTTTTTCGACTGAGATATCCAATGGAAAACTTTTACCTTCAATTTTTGTATGTAGGAACGATCCGAATTGCTGCATATTACAATATTTCATAAATTTTACGGTCAATGCATAAAAGGGAAACTCATACTTCAGAAAGAATTCATTATCATCATCAGTATTTTGAAAGGTTATCATCATCTTAAAAACGTACGTGTTGAGTCGCTTCTATTATCACATAATGCTTCATTCTTTTCATACTTATATGAGATAATTCAAGCTTTCGAAGAATCTTAACAAAATATTATGTTGGATTAATGTAAAGATTTACTTGCTAAAAGTTGTGGCTAACCTTAACTTAGCCAAGCTGAAGTTTAACAAATATTAAATAAATATACTTATACACACAAAAGGATATCTGATGTTAGATTATCGGAAAATATGCCATAGACATTAAAAATAGAATGACAATCCATTTAAACGCACATTAAAATGAAAAATAAAACAGTTATAGAATTAATACAGAGACAGAATGGTAGGAAATGGCAATAGAATAAATGTAATATGGAAGCAATTTGCAACTTAATTTTTCTTTTTCGTGGCATATGCCTTAGCTTGTCATTGTTATGATGATAGTCGTAGGAAGTTCATTTGTCGTGCATTATCATCGTCAAAAACCGCACCTACAAAATGAACTCTATTCGCTTATTTTTTTTTGGGTTGATTATAGAATTATTCCTCTATTAATTCTCATATCTTGTACATTTCCGGACTGACTGACTGTTAGTTAAAACTGATAACATTTTGAATGTTCTGTGCTATACTGTTGGTTTTCTAGATTTGATAGACATGACCACACCTTTGCTTAAAAAAACGATGTGAGATTTGAGACTTGATTTAATTAATGGAAAAACGGTCGTATTTCCTTTTTTTTTGCACCTCGTCGTGTCTGCTTTTGGGGAGCAATAAAAAGAAAGGCAATCCATTGTAAATAAACTGTTTATCCACACTGATTTGGCCATAAATGAATCTTCAATAATGCTTTTAATCCAATAAGAATGATTGTCGCTTGATAATCCATACATGCATAAACAAAATCATTCATACGTAATTGGATTGCGTCACACAAAAATAATAATTTTTTTCTCAAAAGTTTTATAAATAGCATATAAAGTATGGAAAAAGGTTGATAAAAACCAAACAAATTTACATGCCATTGATCCATTTAGAATAGTCTTTTTATATCAATAACTTTATTATATAGAAACTCATTGATTTTTTTTCTTCCTACTAAGGAGATAAAATAATATTTTCCATGATAATTTCCTTGTTTTCCGTTTCTTTACTACCGCTTCCAAGTGTACATATTCAATTCAGTTGCTTTAAGTGATGATGAAATATGCACATTTGAATGTTCGTGTGATAATGCTAATGAAGAAGCGCATTTCTTTTATGCATTTAAGGGATCATTTAGCATGTCTGATATCTAACATGGAGGTTTACTGTGAATTTGTAAGCAGAGCTTCTTTTAAAAACCAAGGTTTAGCTCGAAGTCGACACGATTTATTTAAAAATTTGATAAATAATTCATAGCAAAAAAAACAGCTAAGATCGACTAGAATACATAAATTTTATGAGTTACAGTCAAGTGCAATTTCAGACGAGAATTTAAAATGGATTTAAGATCCAGACAACAAGTAATATAAAACAGAAGTGAATCAAAAGCGCAAATAATCTCTTTTTATTTCAAGGATCTGACTAATTAAATATTCAGAATGTTTTCTCCGACAAAAAAATAGATAAAATATACAAAATGCAGTCAAATTTCTTGCCGCAAAACAAAAACACATTTATGGAATAAAGTACCTCCTGATAATTGTTTTATTTACGCCGATGATAACAAAATGATAAACATATGAAAAATGAATATTTTTTTAAAACTTGACTTGAGATAAAAAAAAAATGAAACGTGTAAAGTAAATAGTATGATGTGTTGACGACAAGGTTTCATTCGATGACTTGGAAGTTATATCTACTGGCAATTCAGCAAGTTCTTTCGAATGAAAAATTATATGACTGGGTTAATATTCTTCATAGAGAAAGGTCAGTTGCTGGGTGAATAACCCAAACAATTGGTATGCTTGCAATTAATTCACGTTTTTCTTTGTTGTGAGAAAAACAATTTTTTTTTGTTATTTTTTGGTCTGAGTACATCTAACACAGTTATCAAGTAATGTTATCTGAACAAAAATTATCGATTACTAAATTTACAAGATGTTTAAATTATTTAATAACATGACATGATAAGGCTTCTGTCTTCTTTTCATTTTTATTTTTCTGTCAAACATGATAAAGTCACATTTGGAATAATTTGTACAACAATTAAGTCCGTACAATGACTAAGTCATTAAATGTGGCAACAAAGCACTTCGGTAGATAAATTGTTCACTAATGTACCTTCAAATCGTTATAAAAATAATATTTTTTCTACAGTAACCTCTTTCAATTGCTGTAAACGTGTAAATAAAACTTGATGATAAGGCTGATGTATACATAACATTGATTGCTGATATGACACACAGTTTTTTGATATGAAAATTTCTTAATGGCAAGTTTGAAAAGAAAAATGAAATGCCAAGTTCTTAAACAAAACATTCATAGCGTCTTTGATATAGAAATTTATAGGTCAAACTAGTTTACTAAATCCATAAAAAATATATACGGTAATAAAATCTGCAAGAGCATGCAGCGACACCTTATTTTTACATAAGACATGAAGCGCAAGTCAATGTCTTGCAACAATTGTGGTTCACGAAAACTTTTGAAAATAAATAAATTCATAGTTTGGATCTTAGACAAGATGGGTTTGAGGTTAAAAATAAGGCAGAACTTGACTAAACCTCTTTATTATTGACTTAAACTGTTTGCCTTATCTGACAATATTCGTAATGTTATTGTGGATACGACTTTGCTTGTTGTAATGTCATAAGCATTATGCGAATCCTTGGTGAGAATCGAACCCATGTCCTTATAAAGAGGATCTTTCTGTTGCCTAACCGCTCGCACCACATAGCCCCAACTCTCGCACAGGCAGATTCGCGTACAAATGGCTCGACACCCATGATTCCAGCTCAGACAGCACACTTGATAACCTTTAATAATAAAATTCTTTATTTTGAAACAACATTTCATGTCAGCTTTTTCCTCCCAACACTTCAGTTGAGTTCGTTTGAACTAATTAAAAATTCTCTTGCTCTTTAAGCAACATACCTGCTCGAAAGTGTCAAAAAGTAATACTCTGTATAATCTTCCTACTTCCAAAAATTAACCCTATTTATCTTCAACAGCAGCAATGTATTAAATTATTCAAGAGAGCTTAGACTAATTTGACACAGCGAGAATAAATAAAAGGCTTTGATTAAAAAAAAGCACTTCATGCAGCAACATTCAATAACTATCTAATGAATTATAAATTGTAATAATGGAAATTATTTTCCTTTAAGCTACATGATTTTATTGCTGTACGACCCATGAAAATGAAAGTTTTTTTTTCACCCCCAATTCATATAAACATAAACAAGCAATTAGATAGGAAATGACTATAAGGACTATGATTGATCTATTTACACTACACAGTTTATATTATCGATTTTTTACACGAATGATATTTTTTTCATGTGATTTAGAAAATCTAATGCACGTTACTAATGTTTGGTCGCGTGTGTGAATCACGATTTTATTTCCATTGATTTTTGATGATTCCAATACTTAACTTTTGAAACAATTTCTTTGAATCTTGTTGAACATGAATCATTACATTTTTATGCTTTAATTTCATATATGTTTACTGAAATTTAATGAAGGAAGAAATGCGAGTTATGATTGCGTGATTTGCAGATATAAATTTATTATGACAGCCTAATGTCATGCTTAATCTAAGACGTACAAAAAAGGGCGATAAAATCTTCACTCTTTTGTTCTTATTCAGCATAAAGAAATTGTGGTTAAAAATAAATCGTCCATGATAGCTAATAACATTCTTTAAATCATATGCTAATTCAATTAAACGAAAAGAAATAGCTTGAAGCAGTGTCACATTCCTTGAAATGGAAATTTACATAAAATTTTATTTCATTCTTTCATGAATTTATTGAAGCTACGTCAATGGCTTAATTTTATGTTTCTATTGGCGAGCATTCGTTTACTTTGAAGGTTCTAAAATGACCATTTTTAGCATTCTCAGGACATTGAAACAAAAGAACTAATTTAAAGTAGCAATTCACGTGTTTAAATGCAATAATTTCTGAATAAAATGATTATTGAACCGAGAGACACAAAGCTGACAAAGACAGTGAATTGAAATCCATACAGAATGTCAATGTCCAACCCCAAAACCGTAGAGAAGGAGGCAGAACATCAACAAAAGAAACTAGCAGAAGTAGCTGTTATTGCCAAGGACAGAAGCCTGTTCAACCGCTTTATCAACGCCCTACGATTCATAGTGGATCAATAGGAACTAATCATCAACACCAAAATGACATAAAGCTAACGTCCTAGCATTAAGTCCAACTATTAGGGCTATTTAATATTAAAGTACAACTTCCAATAAGAATGAACTTTCAACCTTCAATTGAATTTACATGCTTCCTTCAAAAACAGAAGATCAAAAAGAAATTCAGCTCTAAGATGCTGGGATTTTACTGTTAAAAATCGAAATATTTTTGAAAAACTGATGAATGATGACTTTCCGAACATAAATCAAGAGTTTTTCGATTGTTGCTAATAAACATATTCTACAATGTAAACAATACAATACAATAACTATAAACAAAGCTTTTTTTCACATTCACAAGGTGCAAGTGAAGTCACAAATTTCACATATCAAGCAACAAAGGCAGGAAGCCACAGTGAATAATAAAATTTATTTAATTTCACGCCATTATCAGGTTAATGAATAACCAGAGCGTTTTAGTCATTTTCCTTTTTTTTTTCACTATTTCACACTCGTCCTTCTAAAAATACCCGAACACGAATGTACATACAATTTTGGATAGAATTAAATTTATGACTGAAAAAAATGAGCTCAGCGAGTTAATTATTTTTTATATGAAAAAATTTATTGCATACGATGACATTAGTTTCCTATTCGATTTTAACATGCTTTAATTTTCTTGTTTATAAAATCCATGACCTTGACGGACATGGCTGCTTTCTACTCGCACAAGGTTCACATATATTGAATAACAAATAACATACACGAAGACATAACAGCTATACAATATTATTATTAAAACAAGAATTTGTCAGTCTTTTGGGCTTCTTTAAATAGTAAATAAATAATGACCTTGTGAGATCAAATCCATTGATGGAATGATGATTTGTACATTTGACTTGATATCTAGCTTTCGTTTTCATGCCCTCATGATATTAATTTTAAATTATATCGACCATGAATTCCTGACACAAAATAAATTCAATTATATCAGAAAATTAAATTGATTTCAATTAGAAAGGTAGTAAGAAGAATGATGGATCTTTTAGATTCTGACTACAGACATTGTTTGTAAATATATATCTTGTTATATCCTAATTACCTTACAAATTTCATCAAAACAATCCTTTGCGCATTTAATAGATCCAATAATCCAATGTGAATAATGTTTTTAACCCAATATAAATCATATTAACAGATAGCACCTTAACACTTCTCATTTTTTTTATGTCTAAAACCAAAAAATAGTGTTAATTAAATTATATTTAAAGTTTCGGTGATTGGAAAATTCACACACAGTTTCATGTCTAATAGAACTAATTGTATTAAATTATATTCAATTACAGATTTTGATTCACGATACTTCTGGGCATGGACAGACTTTCAATCATATCTCGAGTAAGTTCTATTAAGATTATTAAGGCACATTTATTTTCTTATTTATTGACATTTATCACATTCTCACTTATGTTATAGCTTTCTGCTGGTAGTATGGGCAGTCGGCGCTGCTGTCACTTACATTATGTTACCAGTCAATTGGTTCATGGAAATGATTGGTTTTCTTGCAGTATTCACAGAAGCAATGTTGGGTATGCTAGATTTTGTTCATTTTATTTATTGCTGACATTTAATGATGATATCCCTTGTCAATTAAGGTGCTCCACAATTTTTGAGGAACTATAGGAATAAGTCGACACATGGAATGAGTTTTCTTATGGTTATCATGTGGACGATAGGTGAGTAACAAAATGGTTCAGACATGTCATTCAATTACGATGTATGTAGACAGTGGACATAATTTTTGGACGACCATTGAAATTGCTTGTGTCTGGTGACATTCTTACTTATTGTGTAAATATTTAAACGAACTTTCCATCATTTTTGTACAGGTGATGTTTATAAGACAACATATTTCATTTTACGTTCTGCACCAATTCAATTTTGGTTATGCGGAATGCTTCAGGTATGTTGACAACGTCTGTAAAGAAAGGTGTTAGATTGAGTTATATAAACATTTTTATTTCATTTCTTCTGCATGTTTATTTCAGGTCTCTTTAGATTTAGCAATACTTTTACAAGTATATATATTTCGTAAAAATCCAGCACCACGCAGTGCACATCGAGGCGATTAACAATTTGCCCCCAACGATATCCAAGCAATTCAACAACAAGAAATTCAACAGCATAGTCAACGACCAAGTCACCACAATAATCAAGAAACGACAATTTGTCGCCAATTGTCATTTAAATTTATGAATAAAAAATCACAATCAAATGCCATTGATAGGAATTTATGTACTGCATCGCCAGAGCTACAATTAGAAATTGTTGATGAGAATCTCGATAGGACAATTTTAAATCCATCCATGGAACCAGTTCCATCGTCATCATCAAGAAATGCAGCGCCTGAACATAAAGAGACATATGTAAATATGATGTATAATAATTCGACAGGCACTGTTTCTCCAGGAACAGTTGAATCACCAATTGAGGACGACGATGATGCTGAGATGATGCATAGTAGGACGAAAAAATTAACAAAAGCACCATTTAGATTTAAGCAATTTAATATAATGAAAAATAGTAATTATAAGCTTAAACAAATGTCACCTCCGCCTACTGAGCTAGCATCGTCGCCAATTGACGAGAAGCAGGCAAAATTTGAACGTCAAAAATCAAACACAAGTTCTACACGTTCAGCATCATCATCATCACGACTGAAAAAACTTTTTATGTTATCTCGGGCTGATCCATCAAGAAAACGTCAAAAAGATATTAGCTTGAGAAATTTACGTCATGTTTTATGACAAAACGCCTCGCTGGTCATGACAATGTGGCCAGCAATAGGCGACGTAGAACAAGTAATATCGGACATGAGAGGAAGTCGTCAGGCGATATGTGAAAGAAAAGATGCACATAGCACTGAAATGGGAACAATTGAGATGGGTATGAAGAGTGCTGAGACACAGACAGAATTGATTGATGAAAGCAATCCAGCGTCTCCACATGACTTTGAGATCATGAGTGAGAAAATTGCAACAAAAGATAACAATAATCAATCACGTTTGAACATAAATTCATTAAGAGATATGAAGGATCTTAAATGTATTGATGATGATACAGCTAGTGGTCATCGTATATTCTTTACGCCTGACAATCCAGAAACAAAATTATAGCATTTGGCATTTACTTACGTCACTTATATCTCTTCTATGAATCATGTTAAATTTCTTAACGTATTAATCGTCGTTGACATATCGAAAAGCATCTAAACTATGAAAAATTTCTAAATTTTATGTTGTTGAAAACAAACAATTATGTTGACTTGGACATCCTATTTTTTATTGGATATCAATAATGTTGGGGGAACTTCGAAAAAGAAAAAAAAATACTGATAATTAACTTAATTAATTAGCAAAATATTTGTCACTTAATGCGGACCTGCTAATCGATTGAAATTTCATAATTGGTTGGATTATGCAAGGGTCAGACACTCCAACAGAATTGTAAAGATTGTACAATTCTTCACAATCCATATGGAAGGATTGTAAAGATTGTACAATCCTTACAATCCTTACAATCTTTATGTGAGAAGGATTGTAGGGATTGTAATCCGTACAATCCTTATATGGAAAGGATTGTAGGGATTGTAATTCTTACAATCCTTTCCATATAAAGATTGTAAGGATGAAATTAATGTATGGAACATTTAAAAATGTTTTTCATTGATTATTAGAGAAGAAATATTAATTTAATATTAAAAATTTATTTGTTTGAATTTAAAGAACGAAATAAGCTTGATATATCAATTCTGTCCGTTGTAAAACTACGCAGATGGTCACCCTAAACCAGGGTGATTTAAATCAAAAATCAAATTCAAAATCTTTTTGCAATGATTTTAAAAAAAGATTTTGATTTAAATCATTTTTTCAAAGGGATTTTTTTGGATTTTGATTTAAATCTCTTGCATGAAGATTTTATTGGGATTTTAAAATCCCTACATGTAAGATTTTTGTTTTCAATTTCTCAAATTATTTTTCAAATCAACAGTTTTCAGTTGCAGTTCCTAATAAGTAAGAATGCAGTTGATCCTTTTTTGGCCTGAATCTTGTAACTGGATCTTTTAGATCCAAATATTTCTTAATTAATAGTTACAGCAATGGTTCCATGCTGTTTGACTTGAACGAAATCCATTTCTTGTTTTTAGCGCATTTTTGAAACTTGTTTTCAAAAAGGTAGCTTAATAACGCACTTTGGTCGGCTGGCTGGCTGGCTGGTCGGCTGCTAAGAAAAACTTTTAATCTAGACATCGTAGAGAGTTCTAGTTTTTTGCATTAGTTCCGTTATATCGAGTTATTGGCCCGCCGGACATTTAAAAATCTTAAAACAGTGTATTTATGCTATAATTAATGAATTTTTGTTTTGTTTTCAGTGTAACCTGCTCAAATTTTATTTTACCTCTATAATTTCAATATTACCTCTATAATTTCAAAAAATTTCTAGCCGTTGTAAAATTTGAATTTCAAAAAACCGTTAAATGATAAACTTTTTTTGTATGGAAATTCATTGGAACAAATTATTTAATTATACTATAATTAATTTTTTCGTAGTGCAACTTATAGCGGGAAAATTTCAAACTATTTATTGACCGTTAGAAAATTTGAATTACAAAAAAATGTTAAATGATAAACCCTTTCTGTATGAAAATTCATTGCAACAAATTATTTAATTATACTATAATTAATTTTTTCGTAGTGCAACTTATAGCGGGAAAATTTCAAATTATTATTATATTGACCGTTAGAAAATTTGAATTACAAGAAACCGTTAAATGATAAACTCTTTCTGTATGGAAATTCATTGCAACAAATTATCTAATTATACTATAATTAATGTTTTTTTAGTGCAACTTTTAACGGCAAAATTTCAAATTATTTATTGACCGTTAAATTTTTCTAGCCGTTGTAAAATTTGAATTTCAAAAAACCGTTAAATGATAAACTTTTTTTGTATGGAAATTCATTGGAACAAATTATTTAATTATACTATAATTAATTTTTTCGTAGTGCAACTTATAGCGGGAAAATTTCAAACTATTTATTGACCGTTAGAAAATTTGAATTACAAAAAAATGTTAAATGATAAACCCTTTCTGTATGAAAATTCATTGCAACAAATTATTTAATTATACTATAATTAATTTTTTCGTAGTGCAACTTATAGCGGGAAAATTTCAAATTATTATTATATTGACCGTTAGAAAATTTGAATTACAAGAAACCGTTAAATGATAAACTCTTTCTGTATGGAAATTCATTGGAACAAATTATTTAATTATACTATAATTAATTTTTTCGTAGTGCAACTTATAGCGGGAAAATTTCAAACTATTTATTGACCGTTAGAAAATTTGAATTACAAAAAAATGTTAAATGATAAACCCTTTCTGTATGAAAATTCATTGCAACAAATTATTTAATTATACTATAATTAATTTTTTCGTAGTGCAACTTATAGCGGGAAAATTTCAAATTATTATTATATTGACCGTTAGAAAATTTGAATTACAAGAAACCGTTAAATGATAAACTCTTTCTGTATGGAAATTCATTGCAACAAATTATCTAATTATACTATAATTAATGTTTTTTTAGTGCAACTTTTAACGGCAAAATTTCAAATTATTTATTGACCGTTAAATAATAATCCTTTCTATATAAGCATTCATTGTAACTTTTTGTTAATTACACTAAAATTAATGATCTTCTAATCTTCTCATGATCTGTAAATGAACGCAAAATAATTACATAATCAAATACTGATCGCTAACACAAAAATGCGCTTAAGTCCCTCGATCAATAACACGAGGACTTTTGTAATTTTTTAATCTTCTGTGCCTTGCTGCTTGCATATAAATAACTGGACTTCATCAAGCATGCCTGGATCTTACTTAATATGAGGATTTACCTGCTTTAAATCCTTTAAAAAACTTAAATATCTTTTATTACACCACATTAGTTTAATGAGTCATAAGCAAGAATAGGCACTTGAACTGCCTAGCTCCTTTACATCCACAAAAAATTTTTTTTGTTGCTTTTTCATCAAGGATTCACCTCTTGAAATCAAAAATTTTTTGCAGAAATGGCCGGTTCAAGGCACAGAAGATAAAAAATCACGAATTGGATTTCGTTTCAGTCAAACAGCATGGAACCATTGGTTGCTGTAATCTTTCTTTAAGAACTGCTTGGATCTAAAAGATCCAGTTGCAAGATTGGGCCAAAAAATGATCAACTGCATTCTTACTTAAGGAACTGCAACTGAAAACTGTTGATTTGAAAAATAATTTACAAAAATGATTTAAATCAAAATCTTTTTTAAAAATCATTGCAAAACGATTTTGATTTTGATTTTTGATTTAAATCACTCACCCTGTTCACAGGTGTAAAAATTATACTTTTTACAGCTTTTTAATGAGTTGAAATGTATAAAAAATCATTCGAATTGATTCACGGTAAATTATTGCATTTTAAATATAATTGTTTTCAAAGAAATTTCTGATTTTCTTCATTTTTTGTATTTTATCTTATTTTTTAAAAATAAATGGACATTATTTTTTGTTTAGTAAGGATTGTACAATCCTTACAATCCTCATATAGAAAAATTGTAGGAATTGTACAATCCTTACAATCCTTATATGAAAAGGATTGTAGGGATTGTAAGGATTGTACAATCCACACAGTTCGTATGGAAGGATTGTAAGGATTGTACAATCCTTACAATTCTGTTGGAGTGTCTGACCCTTGGGATTATGTTCTTTTAATCGAGTACCAGAACTGCTTAAAACTTACATAATTATATATTTTTGTATGACTATTTTATGTTGAATGCATATTTTTTTTGTAAAAGAAAAATTTATTTTTGTAGTTAATTTAATTATGCAATTAGGACTTAATAACAATTGTTTTCCATTAAAATTTAGATTATCTTTCAACTTTAAAATTCATTTGATTCCAATTTTATTTTTTGACAAGTTCTTTGTGGTTTTACTTGGAACTATGAAGCACATTTTCATTTCTTCCGGGCTTTTTTTCATTCAAAAGTTCATACTTTATAATATGATTGATTGTGATATTCAAATGAAGAAAATATTTATGAAAATAAAAAATTAAACACTGAGGAATTGAAATAATTGAGAGATAATGAAAAAAATATCAGAACAATGAATGTGTAAGTTTCTCAAAATTAAATAATTAACCAATTTGTGTAAGATTCCATTCAATTTTGAAAAAAAAATTAAATTTGCGCCTTATTATGAAAAACTATAAATTATCTAATCATGACTTTTCTCAAGTCATTGTATAAATCTTTGATGGATCAAAATACAATTTGATTTTAGAAATTTTAATTTTGCTTCAAGCTTCAATTCTTTAATTTCAATTAATCATGTTTTTAGTAAAACGTCAATTCTTCCAAATTAATTAATTAAAAAATGATATTATTATCTTGCATAATGCTTTATCCTTCCAAGAAAAATTGTTCATTTCTTCCTTAGAACTACTTCTGTTATCCATTTGAGCGCATTTTCCACTGAACCATACAAATAATAACGTAGGAAATAAGATCCATAATTTACTGCTGAAGTGTGAAAATCCTATAGACAAGCATTAAGGTACTTTAGGTATAAAAAATAGCAATCAACTTTTGTAGCACTTTTTAAATTAGACACGATGCGTTGATCTTAAGATTAAGGTTCTATTTGAAGACAAGATATCCTTAGTGACCTGAGCATTGACGCATTGGTTAGAACTGTTTGTTTGTGATTTGCATTTGTTTAAAGTCAAAAGACTCATTCACGAATTTAAATGATTTTTAAAGGAAAATGCGCTTTAAAAGACTAGATTATAAAGCATGTTCATAATAGATGTTTCTGATTTGATCCACAATTACTACCATTTTCTCAGTTTGTAAGGAAAACATTTAGCTTTAGAAGAAGTTTTTTTAGATTCTATCAAATGAAAAAAAAGCATAAAATGAAAAAAAACTTATATATTTCGATAATGATATTATTATATGCCTTAACTATGTAAATAGAATTCATCAGAATGTCTATCTCCATATTTGCAAGATATGCCAAAAAAAATATGTCATCAATTTATTCATGTATGTTCAAATGAATCTATAGAAATAATTCAAAACTGTATCTGATATTTAATCAGATTTTAGTTCTGTAAAATGCTTCAAACCTTAAACATTTAGCTTTTAAATCCGAGACAAATTTTTATGAAAGCTTTAAAGTGCGCTTCAAAAGCTTTCAAACATTTAAATAGTTTTCTCATTCTGTCAATATCAGACTTTATTCCCTTAACAAATTCCAAGAGTTTTAAAAATGCAGCATTTTCATCCTCCTCTAATCCTCTCTCATTCAAACGAATGTACATGAATACTATTGATATGAAATAATAATAAAAATGATAACTTGAAGCACATTTTAGTCAGCCGTTTTTTGTGAAACAGATACAAAGTTATTTAATGAATATATGACTAATTCCACTTTATTTTATTGAAGGCACCAAAAAAATAAAATTTGTGAGACAAAAAAAGTTGTGTTAATTTTGGGTCGTTCATTAATGATGTCTATCTACTAAATAGTATTTTAGAATCCCATCCATTCTGTTCTTTTGCAACTAAAACTAGATGTTTAGTTAATTCCTTTCCTTTCCTTAATTATGGACATCATTATTGATCGACTCGATACAAAAACAAATGAATATTAATTAAATGCATTTCATCAGAAGAGAAAAGAAAGTTTTAATGAGTTTACAATCTGAATAACAATTGACTCTGAGTCTGTACCGCTAGAAACTTTATGGAAAACAACATGAATGAAAATGAATCCTTAAAAAAATGAAGAAAATAAAATTTAAAGAAAATGAAAAACTTTTGTTTTTTGTGAAATTAATTTTTAATCCAACTTTGCAGCTTCCAACAAGTTTATTAATGACTTTAATAATGCACTTTTTTATGTGATTTGCAAGATCTATGAAGCTTGTCAATAAATATTATAAAAGCATTTATTATGTGCGAGAAATGCAGCTAAGCTGCATCATTCAAAAATTACAGTGAGATTTAAATTGTGAGAACTTCATAATCCGTGAAGGCTAATTCTTGACCTCCATAAGCGATGTAGCTGCATCCGTGACTTGGATGAACTTTTCCAATTGTCATCGTTCCTTCATGTGCAACTCTTCCAATAAACAATGGCTCACCATCTTCACTTTCACCTCCAGGCAATGCATTTGGAGGAATACTATCGCCTGATGTTTGTACCCAGTTTGCATTTCCAACTAAGACTTCATATGAATCCTTTCCATGTTCTCCGCCACCCCATGCTACATAGCAAACTCCATGAGATTTAACAGCCTTTCCAGGAATTAAAGCACCTTCATGATGTGCTCTGCCTACATACTGTACTTCACCATTATCTTCTCCACCTTTGAATGCATTATCTGGAATTTCAGTTCCACTTACTGGAACCCAAACAGCAGATCCACTGACTGGCTCATTTGGTGCCTAAAATTTTGAAATAATTATCGACAGAGTTTTATTGTAAAACTTAATGGATATACCTCAATAATCCAGCTTCCAGTTGCACCCCATCCAGTACAAATACCAACGAAGTTAATTGGGAAGTTATCAGGATTTTCGTAACTCATGAATGGTGCTCCTTCTCCTTCCTTTCCAACTGTAATCACATTTCCATCCCATCTAATCCAGAATCCTCGGAACTCATCACCATTCAAAATATCAGGAGTATTAACTTCATATACATCTGGCTTTGTGCGATTCTTGCGAATGACTGACTTTGTGTTCTTCCATCCACCAATAAAGACTTCTAACATTGGATCACTTTCAGAGTCAGTTGGTGCGAGTGCAAGATGTGCATCATGGCCAGCTTTAACTCTAAACACAACACCATTTACTCCTGATGGGAACCAAACGTATTCCAATTTGTCAACAGTTTCAAGTTCTAAAAAGAGAAAAATAAATTGAAATTTAATGAAGTGAAATAAAAGGCATTTAAGGAATGCGGATATATCCAAAAATAAAAGATTCCTTAATCACATTCCTTTTGAAACATAATGCTGTATTTGTAAATTCCGCTTAAGCAGCAAGGAAGTAAGAATGATTAAAAAAGTTTTGAGTTGGCTAAGGCGCATTGTGTCATTTAAGATCCAGTTATAAATCCTATGCAGCTCATTATTGAATAATGGATTATTCATACTATGACATAATCAAGGTATGATCTAATTATTTAATTTATTCCAATTGGGCATTAAGTTGCACACAAAAAAACATTTTTAAAATGTAATGTGAATCCACAGTGGAATCAACAGGTGTTATTTCTCGAAGGAACGATAAAGTCTCGTATTGATTGAAGACGAACAGACTTGAAAATGAAACAACTGCGTTAAAAACGAATACATTGTGATCTATTTACCGAATAAACTAAAGAGTAAAATTTTGAATATAAGCAGATGCCACGAATCCATTACTTCTAACATTTTCACTAAAGTTTACAGGAGGAACTGAAGACTATTGTATGAAAAAAGATTAATGAAATGAAGGAGTATTATTTGACCACGAATTTTATTCGATGGTAGTCAGTCAGTTGAGTGTATTTACTATTTTCGGAGTTCAATGATGTCATTCCAATTAGCATACCGTAAATAAAAGAATTTTTTTTCTTAAAGAAGGTTTTGTTGTGCATGCAAAGTTAATTTGCAATATGTAGACGCGATATTTGTCATGATTCATTAGCTACTTGCTGATATTTCCATCGTGTAGTTATGAGCTGTAAAATTGGAGCACGTAAATTAAGGAGCTTTATGTTACTTTCGTGCTACGTTTGGGTTTGTCAGGTCCACTTAATATAATAATCGCAACATTTTGGTATATACGCATTTAATTTTCAAGGTCACATTGTGCAGAGGAACAGAAAATAATAAAAACAACAACAACTGCCGGCATTTTCTCTCACTTACGACTTTTGCTGACTAGAGAACAGCGCAAGATATTTACTTAAACCGTGGATATTTATGACAGGAAATGTTTTTTATGCTAACGCCCATTGTTTGTGCTCTTAATGTACTTTTAAGCTACTTTTAGATTATGCTGCATGAAGTTTTTGCAACAATGCCTGCATAAATTATAAAAAAATCCACAAAACTACAATACTGAAGCCATAATTGTGGAACTTTACACTAATGATACATTATTTTTAATAACCGAAATGATTTTTCAATTTGCAGAATAAAACTTTTTATGAATCGTGAAGCTGTTTTATTTGCACATGCTGATCTTCGCGATTTCTTCTAATTAAGAGTCTGTTCGCATGCTTTGACTTCTTTTTCTTGGCACTTCCACGAAAAATTCTTATGACTTAACGTCATCACTACCACATCAAAATATCCGAAATTCTAATCGCTGCTCATGGTCGACGTGCTTAGTAAGAACAAAAACTTATTGTTCAAACAATTGTTAAGAACTTTCTTACAGTAAAAACAACAAATTTTATTAGTCTTTTATCTACCAACATAGTGGACATGGTTCCTGGCTTCAAAACTATACTGATTGGACACACGACAGAAAAGCCGGTATGAGTTCAAAATACTCTCTAGTCAGATCAATAAGAAGAAATTCTCATGGAAATGGAAATGAATATTTCTTCTCATTCTCGTGATCTTTCGAATGTATTAATGCATAAAATGTTAGAGTATCTATATTGCATGACATCATCGCGAATTTGACAGCGTTGCGAAAAAATGTTTATGCCAACGCAAAGTTATTTGTCCGGTGATAATCCATTGTATATAAATTCTAATATTGGACGTTAATAACCTATGAAAAAAATAGGTATTCAGTATTACTGATCATTGTTTTTCTCAATATGCCACTCCTAGCTTATAAATCACTTCCAGATTCAATTTATTAAATGAGCCATTTTAATTAAAAAAGATGGAATTGTATTGATTTTAAAGCACCAAACATCAATTTATTGTGGAATCAGAGAACTATTAAATTAAATAAATAAAAAAGACATTTGACTCTTGTGTGTCGGCATATTCACTGAATTAATGTTTAGTTCTTCTACTTTTTTATGGCACTTGTCCAAATCCACTCTTTTTACTTCTTTACGAACTTTGTATCATTTTCATTGCTGAAGAAAAAGTTTGCGTCGTATTCGTATTTTTAGATCCATTTTACCAAGAAATTCTTTGGTGAATGAATCAATAATTTTTATTTGAAGAAATGACAACAACAAACTATTATTCATTCCTCTAAATCAGCACAAAGTGCTGTAAATTTATCATTTAATTTACGAGAATTTTACTCAATTTGAAACTTTTGAGAATTGATTAAATTAAAATCAATTAAGAAGAAACTTGAATTATAAACATATACGTACCAACTGGAGGCATCTTAATTGATTATTTGCAGTTCACAGAGAAATATGAAATGGAACGATTCGGTTGAAGTCACTTTCCAAACTGTACTGTTCACACAAACTTTGCATCTATTGAGCAAAAACAAAATTGTTTTTGTTATTGTTACTGCCAATTTCATGAATGTCTAATGCGCATTCTTATGTGCTTAAACATCACTTAATTGATTCCTTTTGAGTTCCTACTTTAATTCGTTTTTTAATTTAAAGTTAATGTTTGCGTAAATTCGTTCAAAATTCCGTACGAATTCTTACGCAATGATCCTGTAGCAAATAGATATTCAGGAAGACAGTCTGCAAAGTGATTCCTTTGCATTGTAGAAAGCAGCTTTAAAGCTACGACTGAGCAAAAATTGAGAAATTGAGAGAACATTTGATCGATGGGAATATTTTGAGAGTAAAGCTTTTGTACATTCTCTCAAAAGCTCCAATAAATCTTCGGAATATGATCATTTATTCTATGTATGGCTCTCCTTACACACGATGTTACTGACCAATTGATAAACCGAATAAGTTCTATTTTAGAATAATGTCACACACGAGTTTGTGAGAAATTTATGAGAAAGCAATTTGATGACAAATTTATGAATTGCTTTAAAACTATTTTATTATTCCGGCATGTTCTAGTACATCGTACAAATTTATTTATTGTAGACTAAGCGCAATTAATATAATTTGACATCATATAATAAAGTTGAAGGAAATGCAATAAAATTTTTCTTAAATTCAATGACTTCACTTCCAATAAAATAAATTTATTTTTAGATGTGCATCTTCATCCCCTTTTAAATTGCTTCCATTTTCGCCAACTAATGATCTCTCAAGTCACATTCAAGTCCTGTCAATTATCTGACATAATTATCACCTTTACATTATTAATTTTTATGTCATATTGTGAATGAAAGTTGTAGGTTTTGACATCCGAACAATTTCACAGACATCAATCTTTTAGATCTAAAGCTGTCCTCTGATTTAACCTTGATCGTTTTTGACTAAAGCATTATTTTTCAGTGATGAGAATATATTAATGGTCATTTCATATTCATCTTATGTATGCAACGTTCATTAGTTCATTTCCCTTTGAATAGTTTTTAACCCTTTTCATACAAAGATTTGGTATGCTTCTAATTATCGAACAATAAACAACTTGTTATTAATTACAAATTCGTGAGGAGTCTTTAATCAACTTTATTAATAAAAGAACATTCTGATTATCAAACCCTTAGGTAACGAGTTTAACGACGTAATGATCCAGGCACTTATGCTTAATAAATTGAAGCTTTGTTTCAAGAAGTCTGAATCGGCATAAAAAGGCTCATTCTTAGGTTTGCCTTCAATAATCAAAAGAATTTCATTGACAACAAAATTGTTAACCAATTTGAGATTAAGATCCGAAAATGATTCGCTTAAGTCAAGTTTTGTTGGATGTAGAAGAGTAGACATGCCAACTTTGAAAAATGATTTGGTTAAATGACGCGATTAATGTATGAGGATTTTTTAAAAATCATTGAAAATATTACAATTTATAAAACGGAATCTATACATTCACATCTCCTATGAATAAACTGAATGTGATTTTTAAATGGATTTGCATTTTTTTCAGGTTTATTAAAAACTGTGAAAATTTTTCAAAGAAAATGAAAAACGAAAATAAACATTTACAGACCATCGTCATTATGGTCCACTCACATGAATTGATGCTGTCATAAACCTTATTTTGAGCGCTTAGAAATCATTCATTTATTTTTTGAGCCGAAATGTCGCTATATTCGGTGGGAAAAGGTCTGTTATGAAAAACATGGGAATCTTCATGTAACAGGAACAAGTCAAAATATATTGTCGAGTCATCAGTTCATTCTTCTTTGTTACATGCGTTGTCTCACTCTCTCATTTTAAAAAAGATATTCTCAGATTTATTGTGATGAAAGAAGAGCAATGTCACATGTGAGATTAAATTTGTCGTTATTGATTGATGTATATTTGCTGCTTTCTAGGTTTGTATTAATCACACTTTTCGTTTGTTGTGGCTGATATTGTGAATCAGTTTCGGATAGTTCAAATGGTATTGAATCGTAGCTTGTATACAGAATAGTCAAAATAATACTAAAACACATCCTGTTATTGATTTATATAGTTCAGTTGAATGAACCATTTTAATTGATGTAGGCGAAAATAAATTGAACTTACTTCCTTTTGTTTGTACGTAAATTTTTATGAATCAAAAAAATTTCCTATTTATACACTTAACTATCAGCTTCAATTAGCATCAAATCTTTTAACATTTTCAGACTCATAAATTATACAGAAGCCAGTCATATTTCTCATGCTTTCCACGATAATCACAATAATTTGTTGAAAAAGATTTAATGTGGTTCACAGTTTAAATAAAACAGCATTGAATGCTTTAATTTTTAAGGCTGCAAATATTTTAAATAGACTGCAGATGACTTCATGAACAATTTTTGATGTTAAGGAGAGGCTGTTGGATGTTGGATGGCTTACTTTTGATTTCTTTGATATTGTTTCAGATTAGTGTATTGCAGTGGCTTATGGTCGGTACTCAATTATTGTGTCCTGAAACAACAATCTAAGGTCTAAGCGGCTCTAAACTTACAGCATTCCTTAGGCTTTGTACATGATTCAGTTAAATATTTATATTAGAAATTCCTGGAAATCCATTGTTCCAAATGTCAGTTAATTTTGGACGTAATAATTGGACGACCCCCAAATAAAAAGTTTACAAAAATGTGGGATCAAAAGGTTGGTTTGGGTCTCACTATAAACTATAAATGATACAAAGATGTTGATGCACTTTCCGAGTCCTAAACAGTCATCCAAATTGAGAATTTTCCAGTTCAATTCTTAAAAACTTCAAGTCATTCCTTTTACAATTAAAAAATCTGTGGCATCAAATTTCTTATTTCGAAACCACTGATTGATTTAAGTCAAATTGAAGATTTTTCAAAAACTTACTCATGTCTCACTGTTTGCAGTTTCAACAAGAATTTCGACATCTCTCAAGACTTTCAAGTTTTGAGTCAAGAGAGAAAATTAAATGAAAAATGTAGGACACTTCTAGAAGTTTGTTGATCACAGACTATTGTCTTGGCATTGATAAATATTAAGTTCCGTTTCCTATCAATTTTGACTAATCTGCTTCCATTGCAAAGTTTTTATGTCTTTTTGAGTTTATATAATTAAAAAAACAGAACTGGATTAAATTGCTGGCATTGAAAATTTTAATTGCAGATGTCGCAATGAAATAGAAAAGGAACGAAAAAATATCAAATTTTCCGGTCAAGAGATATAATTTTCCAGCGGAAAGTCCTACAAAAAACGAAATATTTTTGTTTTTTTTTTTGCTTATTAAATGTGATCTTCTTTCATTCTCTACGTCAACGGAATATTCTCACCGATCATATCCACACAACTACATACGAATGGTAGGAAATCTTTCTTTTATTAAAAATAGATCGGCAAATTTCGTCGACAGTGAGTTTTCATAGATTTTTCACAAAGCTTAAAGGAAAATTCGCTCAGTTCGAAGTTGAAACGCGTGAAAAACGCAACGGGAAGATCTAATTTGTCCCGGAGTGTAGTTAAATTAATTATTTTTTAATTTTTATTTCAAAAAAAGAGAGAAAAAGGAATTTTTTAAGAATAAAATTTTCCATAGGTCAATTTAGTACAACTCTATAGTTAATCATAAAGCACTAAAGTGCTTCCAAAAGTTGTGATATATAATTATGATACTGAGAAAAGTTGACTAAAAATATATTTAAAAAAAATAAAATAAAAAAAGAATTCATCATTAGAAAAAATTTCATCTAATGTGATAGCTGTATGTGTACCTCACTTAATGTCGTTTGGTGGTGCCTCTCATGGACATTCGAGTATCATTTTTCGTGATTATTTAATGAAAATTTTCGCAATTTTCAATGAAGACATTTCCCGTCTTTTTGGTCTTCTTGCTTATTTTATTTTTTTCTCGTGAAAAATTTGAAGGAAAAAAAATTCTTTTCTGTAATGAAGAAAAAAAAAATTTTCATTGAAAAATGCGGCACCGAACAAATTTTTAGAAGATGTTCTATTTTTAAATAAAAGTGTGACGTACTCAAAATTACGTCTCTTAGACAAAGAAAAACAAGAGCGAGAATTTTCATTTACGTTTTTTTTTTCTTCTCAAATTCGAAAGTTTTTATAAAGAAAAATCAGAGAGAGGCACTTTTCATTTGACTCAGCTTAGGCACGATCTGTTGAGATATTTATTTAATTTTTTTCTTATGTATCTTTTCTACAACGACCTTCCAGTGCCATAAAAATGGAACAATTTGAGCAGTTATTAACCTGCTGTGTGTGTCTAGATCGATACAGAAATCCAAAATTGCTACCATGTCAGCATTCATTTTGTATGGAGCCTTGCATGGATGGTTAGTATTATATTTCGATCAGTTTTCATCCCACGCTCTGCTTTACTGAAATAAGCAATTCATTTTTTTCTATAAACGATGATGTTAATGGTGATAATATGTGAACAGAACAGTGAATCATACTTTTTGGTTGTGCGCGCACAAATGTTTGTCATAAAAACAAAAATATCGAACTATAGTAGGAAGTTATGATGACCGCATTTTTGTGGGAAGCTTTTGACTTGCTTTCTTTTTGACGCGACTTTTTTTGGTGACTTTTCATTTAACTGTTTAGGATGTGATAGTCGAGATTTTGACAGTATTGTCCTTTATTGACTCATATTAAGGCGAAACTGTGACTGGACTTGAAATGTCAATGGATCTGTCAACTTTACAATTCCCGAGTAGCACAAGTCGGTTAATCGAATAGCCAAGCCTTTCTGGCTTTGTTTTAAATCTAGCACAATGTCAGAGTCTCACCAGCTTGGTGCCGGAATTCTGATCGATTAACCGACTTGTGTAATTCGGGAATCACAAAAAATCTAGAAAATTCTAAGTTCTAATCACTTTTTATGATCTAAAATTCATTTTATCGGATGTACTTAATCTTTGAAATCATAGCATAACGACAGATCAACAGAATTAACAGATCTTGAATAGTTTAATACGTTTTTAAGGTTCACAATTCAATTCCAATATTGGATCAAATAAGAATTTGATGATTTCCTTTTTATGTTCTATGCCACTTCTGCTTAATCCTAATTGATATCCAATTTCAGATAATAATTAAGCTTTTCTATTCTAAATTGTAAAGAGATAGTTTTTCACGCGTAGAAAAAGTAAAGCTTTGGATCACTTCCAAATCCGCAAATGTTTCATCTAATTTCACCTAGAACTAGATCATTGTCTGTTGAACACTAAGGAAGTTGTAATAAGTAAAATAGGTGAACAGTACGATAATGTGAGCCTTTTCATCTCCAGATGTCTCAAATCACGTTGACTTTAAAATTTTCTTTGTTGTCATGGACTGAATTATTGCGCACGTGAAAATTCACAAAAATTTCCCACTTTATTTTCTCATTGTTGTAATTTTTCTTTATCTTTCTTTCGTTTCATTATTTCCTCATTGTCTCGCATAATGAACGCACAATTTTAAATCTCAAGGGCTTACGGATTATGTACGACGACAAGTCAAATGTCCTGAATGCAGAGGTGAATATTAATATTAATTTTATTTATTTTTTACTTCACGAAAAATGTGAAATGAGAGATAAAAAATATTTTGGTATATTTTCACATTTTCTTCTTCGACTTCCCACTGAAAAATATACAAAATATTTATATATTTATTCCAAAAATAGCGGAACATCGTATACCTTATAATGGCGTGCAAGGGTTTCCGACTAACGTTACACTTCAACGTTTTTTGGAACTTCATATTGAAATCACTGGAGATTTGCCTGATCCAACATCAGGTATGTATACTCAAAAGCAAAAATGTTTATATCATGATGCAATGTATCTATTTATAAAGGTCAAGTAATGGAGAGATGTAACGTTTGCTCGGAAAAATCGTATTGCAATGTTTGCATGCATTGCGAGAAGAAAATTTGCCCCGATTGTAAAAGTGCTCACATGGATATTTTGCGTCGTGAAATTAATCGTATTAACAATCAAATTCGTCGTGGCGTTCATAGACTGCATGATATTTTGTCGGTCGTTGAAAAGAATACACAAAGTTTACAAAACAATTGTCAAAGCGTCTCTGAGGAAATTGATGAAGTTTATCGACGTCTCACGAAAGCAGTCAAAGATCGTACTGATCATATGCGAACTGAAATGGACAAATATTTAACATCAGAAATGAAGAATCTATCGACACTCAAAGAGAATTTAGAATTGGAAATTGCAAATATCACAAGCAATAGTGATTTGGCTGATAAATATATGATTGAGTCTGTAGAATGGGAAGACTGTGAACTCATGGATACAAAGGAAATCTTCCTTAAGACTGTTGAGTTTATGAGAAACTTTGAGACAGAAACTTCGGATTATAGCCGTAGAGTTCGATTTTCAATGGCCTGCGATCCTAATCAATTAGTTAACAATCTTTGTACATACGGTGATTTGCACTTTATTCATCCACCATCCACCACACAAAGTAATGCACTTTTACAGCCAGCTGTTTCAGGTATAATGCGATCAAAAAGTGATCATCGTTTAGCTACACAATTTCGACAGCAACAAGATGCTTACAATGGTGATGATGAGCCACTTCTTGGAGGTAGGAAATTTGGTGAACGTCCAAAACCAACACCAGAAAAGCACACATCAGATTCTCGTTATGGATATGATGCTGATGATCAACATTACGATTCATCACGTACTGGTAAGAACAGGTTTCGTTCAAGATTCCACCGTGGACATCATGAAGAAGAAGATGAAACAGAATCTCGCACGGTAAAAACTGAAAAAGAGAAGGATAAAGTAACAACAACAGAAGATGCTGCTAAAGGTCCATTGAGTGGAATCTTTAGAATTTTAGATTCACCACGTGCTATGAAGAGAATTCAAGAAGCGGACAGAGGTCCACGTGAAAAGAAAGAACCCCCAAAACCTGTCGCACCTGTAGTTACCCAAGTAAAGCAAGTTCAAATTCCAACAGTTACACCACCAGTTCGTCCAAAAACAGCTAGACAGCAATCTGAAGATGAAATTGAAAGAATTAAGCGTGAAAATAAAACAACAGCTCCATCGTCTTCAACTGAAAGTCCTTTAGCAGATAGACAATCAATCTTAAAGAAGACAACACCAACTGCATCATCAATAGATGAAAATGAAGTAAGTCAAGTTCCTATCTCTGACATTGAGGTAAGAATTTTCAACTTTTTAAAATTTTTGTTTCTAATGTCTATGACCTATATGTTTAATGACTATTTTTATCTTCTTATGTCTTTATTTATAGCCACAGCAAACAACAACGACGAATACTGCAGTCACAAATAATTCAACGCAAAAACAATCGCCAGTTCGATCAAGCAGTGAGAGTTCATCGACAGAGAGCACAAGTGATGCTGGATCTACGGGACCACCATCAGTAAAACCAGCTGAAATTCCACCAATTAGATCTCGTGGTGCGGGATCAGCGTCAACAACATCGAACACAGTAAGCAGTCCACCAACAGTCACTGAAGAGAAGAAGCCCTTTCAGAGTCGGTTTCTCCAGTCCCGAACCACCGTCACACCCCCCAAAAAAGAAGAAACGGAATCATCGAGCGAAGAGGAATCAAGCGAAGAATCAGAAAGCGAAGAAGAAGCGCCGAAAGTAAAGCCAGTTGTAAGCACACCACCAGTTGTGACAACACCTGTAAGATCAGCTACGTCTGGAGTTACATTAAGATCAAATGACACAACATCATCGTCACCAAGATCTGGAATATTGAAAGACAGCACCACAACTGAGAATCGAAGAAGCCTTGAAGAGTCTACTTTACCATCGAGATCTCGGTATGAGGCACCCACAAGCACATACTCACGTACAGCTGATAAAGAAAATGATACATCACGTTATGGAACAAGAACACGTTCAACTGCTGCATATGAACCGCCAGAGGAGTCAAGGTATTAAAAAACTTTTCTCGTTTTCAATTCCATTTTCCCTTTTCTCATTTAAAATAAAATAAATACATTTACACACAAATTGGTTAAACAGACACAAACACATTCGCTCATAAAAACACACACACACACACACATTAAGTTTTTTTCTATCTTATTCAAATTAACATTAAGCAAGATCAGATTTTCGGTCGAGACTCATTTGATAATCTTTCAATTGTGTACTAATATAGCTACTCTAGTCGCTTTTTGAATAAAAGCAAAACCTCAGCAATTACACCGACGGTAGATGAGCAAGATGAAGATTCTGATAGTAAATATGGAACTGGTCGTAGCAGATATATGGCACTGAAAGAACGAAGGAATCGATTAGCTAGAAGTCGTTCATCACATAATTTCGGAGATGACGATGAGGTGGACGAGCCAGTATCTCCAACAACAGCTAGTCCGTCAGCTTATTTAGCGTCGAGGTATAAGTCATTTCAATAGATTTTTAGCTGTTATTAGTGACTGTCTAGATAGAATTAAATAACATATTCCTCTTATCATCACATCATCTATCAACATAAAAACATTCCTCAAAATCAAAATTCTGTAGTTAAAATAGATTCTTTACTAATCTGTGCTTATGACTAATACTTAATTTTATGTCAAGAACAGCCAAATGATCCTTAGCTGATGACATAGTGAAATAAATAAAATATATTTTTCTTGAAATTTCATCTATAGATATGGCACATCTTCAGGTGGTAGTGAACTGTCACGTAGTCGTTCAACACATGCCTTAAAATCTCGTGAAAATTCACCAGATAGAGGCGGACCAGAAGAAAATAAAGAAGCATTGAGTTCATGGGCACGCTATTTGAAAAATAAATATGGAAGTAGAACATCAACAAAAGATAGTCCACGTGAAGGATATAGTGCAAGTAGCAGCACAACAACACCGAGTGCTTCAACATATAGTTCATCTGCTGCCTCATCATCATCACCCTCATCAGCATCATCAACATCTGCAAGTAGACGTTTAAGTTTAGGTTTACCATTACGTCAGGCAAATGAAATGCATAGTTCCGATGATGATTCAAAAAACTTGCAAAGCTCCCTCGCCTCTCCTATTCAACAACAGGTCGTCGATACGGAAGATACCAATACTAAGTATTGTACCCCAAGAACACAATATCTTCAAAAGAGACGGCAAATCTTACAAATAGGTGGTCGAGGGAGCGAGCCTGGTAAATTCACTTGGCCAAGAGGAATTTCAGCTAATGGTCCGGAAAATATCATTGCTGTAGCCGATAGTTCAAATCATCGTGTTCAAGTATTCGATGCTAATGGAGTCTATCGTTTTGAGTTTGGAACTTATGGCAATGGTGACGGTGAATTTGATTGCTTAGCTGGTGTAGCCATAAACAGAATCGGACAATTTATTATTGCTGACCGATATAATCATAGAATTCAAGTTTTCGATCCAGCAGGACGCTTTTTGAGAGCTTTTGGATCACAAGGAACTGCTGATGGAAAGTGTAAGTTACTTTTACTGTTCTTATTAATTAGAAATTTGCTAATTTTTGATCCTTTATTGTATAGTCAATTATCCTTGGGGCATAACTACAGACTCAATGGGCTTCATATATGTTACAGATAAAGAGAATCATCGTATTCAAGTAAGTAAAGCTCTCAATTTTACTTAGATCTGTTTCTAATTATATACTTTATTATGTCATAAAACAACACATTTCTCGTTGTGTAGGTTTTTCAGTCTGACGGTACTTTTGTTGGCAAGTTTGGAAGTTATGGTAGCGGGGAAGGACAACTTGTATGTATACAATCAATAGAATGTATAAACATCTTGTCTAACCGTTTGATATGTTTACATTGCATTTTAGGAACATCCTCATTATATCGCAGTTTCAAACACCAATCGCGTCATTGTCTCGGACTCAAACAATCATCGTATTCAGGTATAAAATGAAATTTGTATATTAATAGTGACGACATAATGTTTATATTACGAATCCTAAACGCAAAAATTTCTATTCTTAGATTTTTGATGTAAACGGAAAAGTTTTATCGCAGATCGGTAGTGAAGGCTCACAAGAAGGAGAATTTAAATTCCCAAGGTAATGAACATTAAAATAAAACTAAGTATCATGATTTGTTTTATGACACTGCCAACTGCTGATATATTTTGTAAAGAATTTGAGAAATTTATATAAACATAACATTTTTGCAGAGGTGTGGCTGTCGATGATTCTGGATATATTTCAGTAGCTGATTCGGGAAATAATCGTATCCAAATTTTCAGTCCCGATGGAAGGTGGGTTTACAATAACAATCAAGGTTATGTTCTGTAATTCATTGATTCTTTTTTTCTGCAGCTTTTTACGAGCTTTTGGATCTTGGGGAAGTGGAGAATCAGAATTTAAAGGACTTGAAGGTGTTGCCATTATGTCGAACGGAAATATTTTAGTGTGCGATCGTGAAAATCATCGAGTTCAAATTTTTTAGAGAAATTTTATTTAAAAATCGATATGAATGTCATCATGAATAATTATCGGATGAGATGAAATTGTTTTTGCAGCTACTAACCAACGAGAAAAGATTGTCAGCTTATTTACATTGCTACTTCAAAGCAATCATAATTTATCTGTGTGGCCTGTTTTTTTTACTTTATAATTTTTTTTTTATTTTTGAAGACATTTTAATTTTACTTTAAAAATGAGTAAGATTAAGAATGTTGAACTGTTATTTCTTTTTGTATCACGAGTTAGAGGAAATTCGTAAGGATTTCACTTTGTGATTTTTAAGATCATCAAGTGTTACTCTTTCGAATTACAGCTGAACTCGGTCTATATTTCAATACAATTTCTTTACTTCTTTCTTACAAAACAGAATATGACAAAAATTGTTAAAATAAAGCTTTTGAAAATATAAAAAAAAAATTAGTGATTTATAAAAAATTAATAACATAAGTTTTTGAAACTCAAATAAATGTCAATTTGGGATATAAAAAAAAAGGTATTTAAATTTCTATTCCACATTTGATGAATTTAACTTCTCTATTGATTGAGAAATTTCGTTCAGTCGTTGAACTAGTTGTGCCATGTGATCTGAACTTTTACTTTCATTTGAACTCGTACCTAGATCAAAATGCAATTTTGACAGCTTCTCTTGTTGATCCCGAATATTTTTCATCTGGTTCATTGAACTTCCTGAAAATGCTCGAAGTTTTCCTACGCAAATGAAGAAACAAAATACAAAAATTTATTACGCTTTTGAAAGATACTTTCCAAGACATTTTGTCGGGCTCATACGAAATACTTTAAAGTCGTACAATATAAATGGGGTTCTCGACTTTAAATAATTGACTTTTTTCAATCATCTTAATAGTTCTATTTTAACTTAAATTCAAAACATTACGACACCTGGTTCAATTTCTAGGGCTACCGAGGAACCTAATTCTTGAAGAGGATTCTTGGGTGCCTTAGAAATCGGTTTCAAGCTTGAAACTTGACAACATCAGATATTGAGAGCCATAAGATACCTTCAAGTTTCGGTACCAGACAAGAAACTACAAAACGATACTCACCATTATGAAAATCATCAAGCAGCGATATAAGATTTTTCTCCATATTTTTGACATCTTGAAAGCCTGAATCAAAAGTATGATGCTTTATATTACGTGATGTAAAATTTTTTAAACTACTCGAAACACTATGTTTCGAGGTTGCTTTATTAAGCAAAGGATAACTAGAAGTGCTTGGCAAAGGAAGCGATACGTGTGATTTTTGTGAGGATAAGGAATTTGGTTTATCATGCTTTTCAAGTTCTACTTGATCTTCACGCTTTAAATCTATTAAATTATTACTATCTTCCGGCGCTAACTCAGGGTCTTAGAAATGATACCAAAAACATAATCATGAAGCAAACCATAATGAAAATATATGAAAATAAATAAGAAATAAAAAAAAATAAAATTAAAAATGAAAAATAAACAAAAAATGACTAAAGCTAATTAAGTTTTCCCACAGCAAGTGCCTTGAACCAAACGTGTGGAACTGATTAAATGATAAAATCAAAAATGATCAACAAAAACGAACAAAAAATTATCAAAATGTTATTTATCAGTTCCACACCCTTGCTTTGGACATAAATATACCTTTGAGCATTTTCTTTTTCCGTTCCACACTAGCTTTCCTGGCATTTTCTATTTCAATAGTTTTTCTCTCATTGACGAAACTTAATTTCGCTTCACTGCTTGTCTTCCCGAGTGATTGTGAGTGTGAGTCACTTCCAGAATAGACCTACAAAAGAATTAATTAATTACATTAGGGTGTGACAGTCTAGACAATGAAACATCGATATTTCATACATTTGGGGGACTAATTGGAGTTTTCGATTGAGTTGTTACACTGGTTGGGAGTGTGACATCCTCTTCTTCATCATTCTGAACGAGCTTCTGTCGCTCCATAGACTTATCTTCACACTCCATTGTTTACTAATATTGTAAATCTATAAATTACTTTCTCTTAAAATTTTATACTCTAATATCTCATAATCCAATCGATTTTCGTTTAATCTAAATTATTGCAACTATTGACTTTTGAGATCAGTAATCAAGTAAAGTGTAAATTGAACGATTTCATTATCACAATTGATATTAATTTTAATAAAATTCTATAAATCCCTTTCGAATTTTTGATGAATTTTCTTTGTTTTTATTCTGACACTATCCGCAGGTTATTGAAGAAGTGAGGGAATAGAGTCTTAGTCTGCTTATTAATATTCACACTGTTGATATTTTACTGAGTATTTAAGGATTGGGGGCCGTTCACTTATTACGTTACGCAAAAAACAAACAACTCACAACCCCCCCCCCCTGAACGTTCATAATTTATTTTATTTTGATAATTTTTCATAGGTCTGGACATTCATAAATCATTAAAAAGGTGGAAAATTTACATACTTCTTGACAACCCCCCCAACCCCCCCCCCCCCCTCCCATTTTGTTTTCATTTCTCATTTGAGATTTGAGATTAGCTTAACTTGTTTTGATTTGCTTGACAAACTTAGTTTATACACTCTAGACTCACTCTAACCATGACAACAAGTGTGAATATTAAAACATTGTTTCAAAAAATATCCCTTCCGTTAATTTCTCATCTAAATTATTATTTTTTATTTCAATTTTAATAACTTTTTATTTCTTGACATAATTAAGAAGTTTTGTGAATGTTGTTTGATGGATAATTTACTTCTTCTTGGCCATTGAGTATACAAAGCTGAGAACTCCGACAACACCTAATCCACAAAGAACAACAGTACTTCCGAATAGAACTCTATCGAATGGACCACCTAATGATGATGATGAGAAAAAAGAAAACTTTTAAAATAATTCAGTTGATCAAATTTATGAAAGTTTACCTTTTAAATGGATTGGAACGCTGCTTGGAGCCTAGACAGAAATATCAAAATTGGTTGTCAATGAAAATCAATAAAGAATCCAGGTTACAAAAAGGTAGAAAACTTACTTGAAACTTTTCCATGCTTTTCCTCAAGCCTTCTGGCAAATTTTTTGCGATATTTTGGACTGAAGCTCCTGCCATTGTGTCACTATATAAATTTAAATAATTTAACACACTATTATGAGCACTTTAAAATGCAATTTAAATTTCTTACGCAATAATTTTTCACAGCAAAAAAATTTCCCGTCTGAATAATACAGCAATTGAGTCTTATGCACTTGCAATTTTGCTTAGACTGAGAGAAAATTGCATGCAATTGAAAAATTGAGCGAAAAATGAACCGCATCTATAATTTCAATCTATGGACGTGGCAAACGGATAGAAAAAATTCAAAAATGTTTCTCGGATGTGTGCAATAGTGAAATCATGCAGCAGGTTCATGAAATTTGCTCCAATTTCAAAGATTTTTTGATGTTTTTTCAATGTAAGGGCAATTTATAGGAACAGGTAATTGAAGATTTATTGTGCCTATAAACAATCATTTTGTATTTATTGTTTTATGACAATTGTCAGTCACACATACAAATAGGAATTGAGCGGTTCAACTCATACAATCATAAACGTTTAGGTTTGTGCCTTTGCTAATTATTGTAGCTACACACAAATACATGAAGAGTAGAGCACATGAAAAATTTGTCTAGTCACATGAAATTCATGATTTTTAAAATTTATTGGACGTAAGCAATTCTTGTACAACTTTTGTACGTGCAATAATGATTAAAAATTTATTTCAAGTATTTTTATTTCAATTCAATTTTTTAAAAATGTCATTAAAGTGAAAAAAGTTGTGAAACAAAATTGCATACACAAGCTAGTTCCAGGTTTAATTTAACGTCTGAGACTTAATTTGAATGAAAAAACAGTTTTATTTTAATTTCGAAAACCTTACGAATTTTCGATTACTTGTCAGTCGAGTAGTGAAGTTCAGTGAAAATAGACAGTGAATATGAACCAGGAGGAAAAAAAGTGATTTTTTCAATAAATTAATAATAAATTAATGAACAATTATCAAAATAAAAAATAAAGTGAAGAAAAAAGAAACATTTGTGAAAAAAATTTATTTAAAATTAAGAGTGTAAGTGTCAAAAAAGAAGAAATTTTTGTTTTTATGTCTACAGGAAAGCAAAAAGAGGGAAGAAAAAAGAAAATTTCGCATGGAGTTTTTCTTTCTTTTCTTTTGAAAATGCAAAGCACAAAATATTAATGTAAAAGAAAAAAAAATTATGAATGTTGAGTTCAAAGGAAATCCAAAAAAAATTCCCAGCATTGTAATCAGAGGATCATCTATTTCAGCTTTATGATTTTTAACTACCCCTTAGCGATCATCCAACAGTCATCAAATTATTGTTGTTATATTAAAGTTTTTTTTAATTTAATTTTTTTTTTGAAATTATAAAGTGAAAAAAAATTTGTGAGAAAGTTTGAAAAAATTTTTCTTTTTGAATTTCTCATGATTAAAAAATAATATGAAAATGAAATAAGAAAGCATTAGCTTGTTCAAAGAATATATAGTGTATTCTACTAATTTTTAATTGAGTTTCAGTTTAATGCAAAAAATGGTAAATTTCTAAATAATATTTTATATCAATTTCAGTGTTTAAAGAAAAAGAGAAAGAAAAAAATTGTGTCACAAAAATAAATATTCTTCTGGAAATAAAGTATAAACTTCAGCAAGAGAAGTTGAATGAATAAGTTGAAAATAAGAGGAATAACAGTGGATGCAAAAGAAAAAAGAAAAATTGTACGCAATTAAAGCAGAAAAAGAAGAAGTATGGAAAAGTTTGTAATTTTGATGTAAAAAAGAAAGCAGAAATTGCTAATGAAATCCAAATAGCTGCATATTCAGCTATTGAAAAGTGTTTAATGGAATAAAATGAAAATTTTCAACCCAGTGTAAAAGAAAAATTTGAGAAAATCGTGACGTGCCAAAAAAATAAGTGAAGCAGAAAGGAAAAGAGAAGAAAAAAAATCTTGAATAAATTCCAAAAAAAGTTGATCTCTTAAAAATAAGAAAAAAAGGAGTAAAAAAAAGTATCCTGCAATTAAGGAAGAAAATAAAAAAAAATATAGATCTAAGGTACGGTCGCGTCATTGCAGAAAAGTACACAATCAAGTTCGGAATTTGATCGCGAAGCTGATAACGTATTATAAAATCGTGATAAAAGACGCGCAAAAAGTAATTGTGAGTTGTGTATAATTGTGTCCGATAAGACGAAGGCCTCCTCCATGAATCAGTTGTGGCAAAATGGTACGCGAGACTCGTCATCTTTGGGTTGCAAATTTACCCGATAATACACGCGAAGATCGAATAAGGGAGCACTTTCAAAGGTAAGCAATCAATATGCAGATGTAGGAAATTTCTCATTTCATCAGACTCCAGACTGGCGTCATTAGTATTTTTTTTTTCTCTCTCTTCTCGGCAATGACGAATTCTTATATATTTTTTGGTGTGTCTATAACTTCTTCCTTCCAAACGACGATGATGAATTGTTTTCCCTTAATTTGCCACTGCCAAAAAAAAAATATTTCTCATCTCGATTTATTATTTTTTTTTTGTTTCAAGGTGCTCATTTGAAAGAACTAAGGGCTCAATACTAAGTTACTAGACATAAATTTATGGGAAATGAGCTTATGTACATGTAAAAAAAAATATAGAAAGATGCATCAGGAAGGGTCTAAATGATAATCCGCTCATTCTTTTACAATTCTCATAGAAAGAGTGGTTCTCACCCTTCCTCATTTCTTCCTATATATGTAATATAACATTTAAAGGAAATACATACATCAGCATCATAAATTGCAATAAATTTTCCCATCAAATAATTTCTCTGTCTGCGCGGTTCCAGGTCATTTTTTTTTTGACAGAATCAAAAATTCTGTGCGTACTGAGGAATAAGGTTGCATGAATCCTTTGATATCGCTCAATTTGATATAACAACAACTCTTTTTTTTTGCTGCTTCTCCTGAATAATGCTCTTGCAATGTTCGAGTAAAATGTAGAAAGAAAGGAAAAGAAAGAAATGATGATGTATACATCAGACCAATTCGAGTAAGAAAAAGAACTCCAAAAAAGAATGAAAGAAAAAAAAAAGTTGGTATTATAAAAATAATAACCCGAAATGTATATAACAATAATTCCATTTTGGTGTATACTTTTATATATACACAACAAGAGCCAGAGCCAGTTTTTGTTGTTTCCATTCGGGCTGTGTATAAACTGTATAGCAAAAGCGAGAAAAACGAGAAAATAATAATATAACCCGAAGTAGTCGAATGTTTCCATAAAAGTCGACACGGGCAGGCAAAAAATTCATCATTTAATACGATATAGAAAGAAAAAAAAATATGTGTATATATAAAAAGAAGAGAGAATATAGCGATTGCTTGCCTGCGCTCTGTATATACACGATATTTATAAAAAGCATTTACATAGCCGAATGTTTCTTGAACAGACGATATCTCGAACCATTTTGTTGTTTCGCTTTTCCCTTGCCTTCTTCTGCCTGTGTTGTGGCCCGATTGCTAACTCGCTCTGTTTCACTGTTTCATTCGCACTCGTGGCGAAAAATTTTCAAGCAATGTATTCTCTCTCGCTCTGGCGCATTTGTAAGACAAAAAAATATACTTACTTTTTTTTTGTTATTTTCGGTGGATTGGAAATATGGGCAAAAATACACAAGAGCAACATACACATTGCTGCGAATTCCGTTTATTTTATTTTATTTTATACAATTTTTTATTTTTTTTCTTTCTTTTCTTTTCTTTAATGGATATGAAAAAAAAAAGTTTAGTGAATGTGATCTCAGTATCTGTGTGTTTATACATGAGGTATATAGTAGATGATGATTATAACTTTGTATGTGTGAGACTGAGATGGATCTGAAAAATTTTCAAGCGAAATAAAAAAAAGTTTCTTTCTCGTTCGCTTGACTTTAAAAGAATGAAGCTAAGAGGAGCAGCGAACAAAATAAAAAAAAATTATTTCATCGTTTTCAATTAAGCTGACTTCTTGAATATTGCATTTTTCCATCATTTATAGGTGCATTGAGTAGGATAAAAAAACATAGATATTTTTCTAAGGTAACGAAAAGATAGAAAAAAAAATATTCTAAAGGGCTTTATTCAACCATTTGGGTGTATTAAAGAAATTTCTTTCATAGCTTTACCATTTACCTTGGTGCTGTTTATTAAGAATAATTAGCTCGAGCTTCATTTATTTTCTTTTAATACAAAATGAATAGCATTTGAACTTTATGTCGATGAGATGATTTCTAATGGTGTATTTTTTTTTTATTTTTAAATCAGACAAAGAAAGAAATTTATTCTGTAGCTATGAAAAAAAAAGCAAATAATAGCTGTGTAGTGCTTACTTTAATTGAACTTAGAACTGCAAAAAATTTAAATTTGTGATTTTTTTTTCGAATTTTTGAAAAAATTTGATTTGAATTTAAATGTTAAGAATCTTAAATTCTTAGAAGTTGACAAGAAGTTCTTAAATTTTGCAATTTGCTTTGATTCCTAAGCAGCACAAAGGAGATAGCTACAGCCACATGAAATACATATTCTTTCTAGAGTCACTTTCGATACAAACTTTAGAAAAAAACAACATATTTTGTTGTTTCAGTCATCCTAGCTCACTTTCCTTACTTATAAATCCCCTCCAGCATCTCTTGTAGGCTAAACAAAGTTCACAAATTTTTTTTTGAAGTTTAAAACCTTCATCAGAAAAGTTCAATTTAATGATTGACAAGAACCTGCATCTTGTTCGTAAACTCTATTGTAAATTATTAACTTGTTTTCTTACATGAACAGGTTCGTATTTGTAGCTAAGGTAACAAATTTTTCTCATTATTTCAATATCTCATGTTCATCATTAGAAAACAAATTCTTTACGTTTCTAACAATTCTACATTCGCATACGTGTATAAAGTTTACACAATATAATAAGAGTTGCCTTAAGGTTTTCTTACTTCTTCTTCTTCTTCTTTTTTCAAGAAAGAATGGTACAAAAAAAAGAGAAAGAATTTTTTTTCTGCCATATATTACTGTATATCTATGTATATATTCTTGGAAGACGTAGTATAGAGAATGGAATGGAATATTACTAGTGATAATACATGTAAAGCCATATTGTAATCATCACAAAGCGTACTCGTACATTGAAAGAGAAGAACTTTTAAGTGCTTTCTACGATTCTTTCTACTTCAAAAGAAATCTCATAAATTTTTTTTCGTTTTATAAGAAAGGAACGAGAAAAAGAATAGAAGATAGTCGAATACTATACACTGAGCTAGCTTAGAAATGTTAGGTACGATGGGAAGAAGGCATATAGCTATGGAAAAAAAATCACGATATGTTTCATTGAATAGAACCCGGGTAATGTAAGGAATAAAGATGAATATGAGCATTCATGGCCATTATTTAGCTGCTGAACAAACATTGCGGTTATTCTTTTACATGTACCACTCTACTCTCCATTAAGATAATATCGATTGCGATGAGAAAAACATCCAATATGATGGAAAAAAACATGAAAAAGAAAGAGCTACACATTCAATTTGGTGGAATGGTCGAAAAAAACTATTTTCGAGATAATGTTATTGGATTTTTTTTCCATCTCTTGATATTTACTATGTATACAAATAGCCAGCATCGACCAGTCGAGCAACTATCGAGGCTAAGCAAACTCTCCTTTCTGTTTCAAGAGCGTTCTGGCGTGTGATTTTATTCTGGATGGATGTGACCGTGCATGATGAAAAATAAACACATCGAAAATGTATTGAACAAGTTGAATTGTTCATTATTGGATAAAAAAAAACTTAAATTGATGTAATAATGTGGCGCTTGACTATATCTTGTGTAGGTATTTCGTTTGCCTACTCTTTACCAAAATACATTCATACAAAATGCCAGATTCGATTCCAATCAAAATCAGTAAAAAATAAGTTGAAATTGAAAGAGAACAACAAAAAATTGTTATTGCATTTACTTCGGCTTTTATGCTCAGACATGGAAGAAACAAATTCAGAATCGAAATTATCATACCCTTACACTAACCTTGATGGCTTTATCGATCGAATTTGAGAACGAAATTTTTATTTTTTTTCGTATTTTTACTACCCAATTTTTTTTTGTTCCAAAATACATATAGATGGATGCCTCATTCTCGGTTTACGTGGCATGAAACAATATAATCTCGATACGCTTTTGTTATTTTCCATCCAAAATTCTACCAAATACATTTACGAAGCGAATAAATGAACAAATGAGCGTAAAGAAATAATATGAAGAGGTAAATGAGCAGATTCAAGTGCCTTTCGAATTTTCTAGCCTTAAAGTGAATCACTGAAAATTAGTAAAGTTCCCGATCAGCACGATGTTGTCATGTAGACGCTGAAGCTATTGTAGTAGCTCAAAATCCCATATAAACTTGGACTCTTACTTACAGATCAATTATGATCCATGACCTCCCTTAGTCGTCCCCTAAAACTAGCTCTATCGCTGGATACCGTCTGGCAGTTGCAAAAACTTGGGCTCAGGCCTCAAAAATCATGACTAATCCAATGATTTCTGCAAAGAAATAATGCCCTGCTTGGATAATGTCTTGAAAAAGATCCAATATACAGATCTAAGATGGAATTGTACTATAAAGTTTTAGTATGTGATTAACATGCAATGGTGTTGATTCTACATACTTTTAAAAATAAAATAAACAACAAACTGAAAGAATAACAAAACAATAGAGAATAATTTTTGGCTGAATTATTACATAACTTACGATGGATATAAGGAATAATGACGCATTTTTCGCCTTTTATTGAATAAATAAAATTATTTGTTTTTTTTTTCATGCTTGCTGACTTACTATAGGTTATTTCGTCTTCAAATAGCTTTTAGTGTTATTAGTTTAGTTTCTCGGCAAAGTACTCATATCCAATTTGACCTTTTTGTATCACCAAAAAAAGAAGCTTTAGGCTAACACACTTATCTTGACATTTTCATTTCATTTTTTGTTTTTCTTTTCCCTTTTTTTATTATTTCGTTTTCACGATAAGCAAATAATGGATAGACGGATAGATAGACGTGAGGTTATATTTGACTCTTTTTATTCTTCATCTATCTATAATTACAATCAAACATAAAGAAATCATTCATTCTAACGTCCTTCAACGTGCACTTGTTTGAGTTCTTTTTCTACTTAAATAATAAATACAGAAATACAGACTCGATTCAATAATAAAACAAGAAGACTAACAATACTCATATAAATAAAGGCACGTCGATATAATCGAATACCAATTATGAATAATTTATGGCCTCATGTAAGG